TTTTTCCACCAGATATGGAGTAGGGGTCAAATCAGTTGTGTGTGTGCATGTGTGTCTTAAATAAAGGAATGAGAACCCAAACTGGCAGGCCTGGGATGCCCAAGGAACAACAGCCTGATCATTGGGTTTGAATTCCAGTTTAGTCATTCAATATCCACTGAAGTAGGATAGGTTACTTCTCTCAGACCCGCAGTCTCCTCAGCTGTGAAATGGGCATAGTACTATTAGCTGCCTCATAAATTGTTGCAACTTTTAAACAAATTCATGTAAAGTGCTGAGAACAATGTCTGACACTTTAGAAGCACTCATTCAGTATTAGTTATTCATATCCTGTATCCGTTCCATTGATTTTCATTGTATAGAGGCATGAACTGTCAACTCTGTCAACTGGTGCTCAAAAAAGTATAGAGATGCTCAACTACCCACAATCAAGGACTCCTGCTCCCCTTTCCCCATCACTAGTCCACTGCTTCTAAAGTGAGGTCCCTGCACTGCCTCATCAGCATCCCCTGGGGACTTGTTAGAAATGCCAACTCTGAGTCCCTACCCCAGCCTTTCTGAATCTCCAGGAGATTTTGGTGCATGCTCAAGTTTGAGAATCTTACTCTATTCCCTCCAGGGAGGGATGCTCATGGGGGAGCTTCCAAGTACCCCCTGCAGGGTTGGGGGCCCTTTAAGGCCTTCCTTTTAAATGCCATCTCAACGATATCTAAACTAGTAAATGTGTCACCAGAAATGATCTCACGTGCAGTCTCATGTGATAAATGGACCAATAATCCACTTGGCTTTCACTTTATTTTGGCTTTCCTTTTCCCACCTGGTCAGGCCCAGGTGTTTATTACTTCTCCTTGGTACTGGCTCCCAGTTTTCACTCCATTTTTTATCTCCTCCAAGTGAGGGGGTGTTAGAAAGGGCTCTTAAAAATATCTGCCAAGAATTCCCGACACAAATTGCTTCCTGGGCACTGGGGACAGTTCTAGTTCTACCAGCCCTGTCCATCCGGTGTTCGAGGACTCAGGCACCTTTCAGGGCCCAGAATCTTGGTTTTCACTGTGACATTTACAGAGCAGCTAGCCTGCCATTTGAAAAGTGTCCAGGGCTTGGTGGACAGTAATGAGGCTGGCTGGTCTCCAGCAGTTGGCAAACAGCATGGCATATTAAATGTCACTGCAGGCTTGGTTTGTTTTAATTTGAAAAATTGCTCAAGTTATGAAAGCTTACTAATCTTGCTGAGAGGGAAAAACATCCCACTGTACCCTAGAAACGACCAGCCTCCCTCTGCACCTCTATCTTAACCCATCCCCTTGCCCCGCTTGCACATTAAAGGGCACTCAAGAGACACAGAGCCCACAACCAAGAGTGTGTTTCCAGAACTCCTCTTGCTGGTGGGAAAGAATGCAGCACCATTACTAATTCAAAGCAGATTTGACCTAGCTACAGATCCCTATGCACATTTTCCCAGGATCATCTACCCTCCCTTTTTCTTCTCTTCTTAAAATGAACATTCATGCTTTTTTGTATACAAACATCCATCACCAGCAGAATCCTAGTCTGGGTCTTAGAACTAGAAGGACACTCAAGGGCACTGGGTCTAGACTTTGCTTTCAAGCTGGTTAGTTATTGTTCCCATTGTACACATGATGTGGTTGGCGTCCAGAGAGTAAGCAGCTGTCCAAAGTCCTACTGAGAGTAAGTGTAGACCTCAGACCCAGGGCACCTGCCTCTTCCCCTCTCTTCCTTTGATCACCAGAGATCAGAGCCCAGAACCTGAAGACAGCTCTTCATTTGTTCCTTCTTTTCCAGCCAACTTGGGATGGAGTTTTCTCATATACAGTGTCATCAACATAGTTAATCCCAATGTATCATCATCTTGTTGTTGTTCAGCCAACTCTCTTCTGTGAGCATGTTTCAGCCCTGAAGTTAGGACACCCCACTCTCTCTGCAAGTGTGAGCATGCAAGTGCCTGTGTGGGGTGATCAGGGAGGCCCGGCCCTCCTACTCCATTCGCTAATATTTAGGTCAGAAGCAGGCAGGGTCTTGGATGTTTCATGATCTGAGTCTCATCCAATGGGCAAGGGAAGGAAATGGCTGCCAAGAAGACCAGGTCCACAACGGCTGACCTCCTGGGCCCAGACGACTTGAATTCTAAGAGTGGCTGAGACCTTGAGTGTATCCCATCAGTCCCCACTTAGACTTTTTGCTTTGTTTCATTTTAATCCTGGGAGGAGGAATAAAACAGGCCAAACAAAAATCCTCTGGGCAGCATGTGGAACCAGAGGAGACACTATTGGGTCTGTCTTCCCCAACCTTTCCAACTCTGGACCTCTCTGCTCCCACTGCCCACTGTTAGACCTGCTTGGTACTAACTAGGAAGTGGTGTGTGCTGGCGTGAAGGGCCTTAACCTGGCCACACAAGCTTTCCCATGCCCCGGTGAAAGGCTTGACCCTTGTGATTCACAGTTTCCTCTGTGACTCACCCATGAGGGCTCTTTAGGAATTAATTTTCAACAGGTGCGAAGAACACTGTGTTACCCACAGCCATCAGCTCCCTTTCTTCATTCCTAAGTAATATTAACCCTTTTTTCTCCACTCAAAGGTATTTGCATTATAATAGGGGAAGCTCTTATAATAACAATTTTTAAGAGCTGAATCTCTGAAAGTGAATTTTGAGCCTCAGAAACAAGCCCAAGACAAGACTAAGCAATGTCATCATAGTACGCAAGGGACACTTGCTGACAACACAGTATTGAGAGGCTCAAGGGCCAAAGAGGTAGAGGACTCAGTAAGCAAAAGTCACAGGAGAAGTAGATGGGATTTTAGTAGCTTCCTCTGTGTTTCTTCCTGTGTAGAAAGCCCCTGGTTATTATGCAGCAATTCTGTGGTTAACTTGAAATGCACTTGTTGAGCTCTTACTGTGTGCTCTGCCCCCAAACTATTGTCAGTGTCTTTGTTTTCCTTTTGTCTTCCTTCCCAACCAAATCCTACCTCACTACTTTATCTTCTTCATCCTACTCTTCCTATCCTTACAATCATACCCCACCTTCAGATCCTAGTTGCCTCATGGCTGCCTTGTCTGCAGACATCATGAGAAAGGCTAAATGCTGGGGTCAACACAAGGCCCCTCACTGCCACCACCTGAGGAAGATGAGCAGAGACAGATGAGAGGTAATTTCATGTGCTCCTCGCCTTCCCAATAAAGCCATTTCCAGAGAATTTCTCTGGCGACAAAAGAACAAGTCAGGAAGATTCATGACTTTCCTTTTAGCCCTCCTGAGTTAAGGGGATTATATCCAGGGAGTCAATTCTCATTTTAGCCTAAACCTCACTGGTGGGCAAGTTGTGAGAGATCAGGTTATCTTTTGGCCTTTCCCGATGTCCTTCTTTCCCACATGCTCATGGTTCTCTCCTTGGAAGGGTGAATATAGAGGGAAGAAACTTATTTTAGCATTGGGGAAACTCAAGTCCATAAAATGTGGCTTCTGGCTCTTAAAATCTGTGCTAATCCATGTTAGAAATACTGCCAATGGCATGTGAAACAGTTTTAAAAATGTGTGGGTACTTTGGCCGTGGATCTCTGTGCCAGCACTTTTCCCTCTGTGCCTCTGACACTGAAGTTAATGGTACCCGCAGCCCCTGTCATGTAGCTCCAAGACTGGACAGGAGGGGGCGATGTACATCTCACAGAATGTCAGAGTCTGAATGCACACTTAGCAGGGATGGATTCCAACCTCCATTTCAGGGACCATCTGGCTAGACTGGCCCACACGTGTGAATGGGGAGGGAGTGTCCTACTCTAGGAAAATGTCCTTCACTTGGAAAGGTAGCTGGGCTATGTATCGACAGTCAAGTTCAAGTTTCTCTGCATGGCCATTAAGGCTGTCCATTGTGCCTCAACTTTTGCCACTCCCTGCCTCACACTTTGTGCTCCAACAATATTAAATCACTCATTGTTCCTGACAATGTTGCCTGACAATGTAGGCTGGCCTTGATTGGAATGCTCTGTTCCCCCTTCTGTCTATGCATACCTGGGTAACTTCTACCTACCCGTTATGACTCAGTTCAGCTATCACTGTTTTTAGAAGCTTAACTATGGTCACAATTATGAATGGGGTGGCCTCCCAAACCAAGCAAGCTAGGGTCAAATCTCTGTTCATATTCAAGTCCCATTACCTCCCTAACCCTCAGTTTCCACATCTATAAAATGGGAGTAATAATACCCAACTTCCAAGAGTTGTCAGAGGAAGAAGTAAAGTATGTAAAGTGCTCAGTATAATACAACTGGCACATAGTGAACACTCAAATTCAGTAGCCATTCTCATTGTTTCCTGATTTCCCCACTCTGCCTTCCCATCCTAGACTGGGATGGAGCCTCTCTGTATCACTACCCTTTTATGTGTGTGCTATCTGTTTATCTACTCTATTGAAGAGTAATTTACATGCAACACATGTACCCATTTTAAATGCATGGTTTGATGAGTTTTGACAGATGTAGACACCTATGCACACTTGTGCACATGGAACACTTCTGTTACTTCTAAAGATTTCCTTGTGCTGTATCCCAGTTAATCTTCAGGGCCCCCCCTTCACAACCCCCCAAGCTCCAGCAACTATTTGTCTCCTTTTATTGCTAGAGATTATATTGCCTTTCATAGAGCATCATATAAATGGAATCATAGTGTATATACTCCTTTGTGCTTCATTCACTCAACGTAATGATTTGAGGTCCTTCACATGCACCACTAGTTAGTTCCTTATTGTTAAGCTTCTAACTTTGTATTATAATTTATCTGATTCCTCTACTCAACTGGGAGGCCCTCATAGATTCTTTTTCTTCTTTGGTTCCCAAACAGGCACTCAGTAAATGTTGGAGGAAAGGAGGGAGGGAGGAAGTGAGGGAGTTGCAAGGAGGCCTGGCTAAAGTCTTGGCTGCAACCTTGCATCTTGTCCACCCTGGGGGCAGCACTCATGTCCCCAGCAGAACCCCATCTGCAAGCACTTACAGCAGCCAGTCCACAGCCACCAACAGGCTGATGTCCTCTGTTGGCAGGCCCACGGCTGTCAGAATGAGGAGCATGGTGACGAGCCCAGCGCTGGGGATACTGGCTGCACCAACGCTGGCCAGTGTGGCTGTGAGGCTGTGAGAACAAAGAAGGTCAGGTCATGAGAAGAGAAAATGGCCTTGGCAGAACCATCTCTGGCAATTTTAAGCTCTCATGTTTCCAGCAGTCATAAATTCCCTTTTCCTTCCCAAGAAATAGAGAACCGAGACCCAGGAATTAGGGTCTATTTGGATCCTGCTTAACTGTGATGGAAACAGAGAAATTCATGGATTGAAGCCTTATCCCCATCACGATATTCATGTAGCCTAGTATATCACAGGGCTTAAATAAAAGAAATGTGATTCTAAAAGCAGGTAAGGGAATATTAAAAAAGAAAAACAAATCACCCTCAATGATCCCATGGTAGCTTACACCTTTCTGTCTCCATGAGCACCAGAGACTTTTGGACTACGTGGCAGGAGTCCGAGAAGACCATTGGCGATGTTAACATGAGAACTCAGAAGAGCAAATATCCAGACCCATCTGAATGGACATCGGGGGAACAAATCGACAGATTCCAAATGACATTAAGTTTCAGATGCCTGGACATTTGATCATGGACTGGAAAATCCATTATTCAGACAAGGCGCCAAGAAATGACAATGAAAGAATGGGAGGTTTTCTTTTTGAAGCATCCCATTGTTTTCTTTCCAAGCAATGCCAAGGGCACACCCAGCACCATTTTCAAGTTGTCTCTGGAAGCGGGTTTCATCTAGGATTCAGGCTCCCTGTGGAGACACCAGGGGCCTCTGTGGTCTAGCGAAGGGCAGTGACTTTTCCCCCTTCTTCCTACATGCCATTTATAAAAGCTGTGATTTCCAAATGGAAGGGTGCTTCTGAGAATACAAGGTTCCCAGCTTGCTTTTGCGGGTGTCGGAAAGAATAGAGGGGTGGATGTCTTTGCAGTAATAAAATTCTAGAGTTTCTAGAGCAGCTCTTCCAGCTCCAAAAGAAGAACCAGTCTCCTAAACTGGTGTAACCAAAGTCCAGACTGTCTGTGTGACTAAGTGCAGAATCCCGGAGGTTCTCACAGTTGGGAGGGACCTAATTTATTGAATCTCACATATGAGGAAAGGAAGGCCCCAGGACATTTTGTGGTTTGCGTTGTTTTTCCTTCTTGCCCTCCTTCCATACTTAGGCCTGTTATAGTAAAGACAGCTTCCCTGGGTGGAATCTACAGAACCTATCTGTGCTCTTCCCCTGCCCTACCAATAAGGGGCTGGTTTCAGGGTTTAGAGAACTCCGTTTTCCTTGGATCCATCTGGGTCACTGAAAGTGGCAGTGTGCTGTGATTATCAGTGAAAGTTCTGTAGTTGAGTGACCTGGGTTCAAATCCCAGATCTGCCAAATATTAACCACATGACTTTGGACAACTTAACCTCTTTGTGCTTTGATTTCCTTATCTGTGAAAAAGGAGATAATAATGTTGTCTCACTTATGGGGTCCTCAGAAGCTAATAAAAAGCACTTAGAAGAGGCCAGGCACATGGCAACCCTCCAATAAATGTCAATTACTATTCTTATCAGAAAATCTCCATAGGGTGAGGCTGCTTTGCAATGAAAACTTCCCTACAGCCCCAAGAGCTGGAAGATGGGAATTCTCAGCCATTTCCCTGACAGGGATAAAGCACCAGCAAAGGGGAACTTCCCAAGTTTCAATGAACTCGGCCTCAACCGTTGTATTTACACCACCAGTTGCTTCTGTTATGAGTCACGCTTACACATCCCTTTGCACAATGGCCACATTGTCTGGTTACCTCTTGATTGTGTGTGACAAATCCTATAAAGAGAATGCTTCCTGGCAGTTGGTTCCCCCTCTGTTCCTCCGCCTCAGTTATGTCCTCCTGGGCTGTCTGTGCAATTCTAAGTCCCGCAGAAGCTCCCTGAAAGTGACCTCCCTTCCATCCTCTTATTCCTTGCAGCTTTTTGTGTCCTTCCTCTCCCTGGCTCACTTCTCTAGGGCTGGGTCTTGGATGCTGTGTAAGGTACTGCACACATGTTAGCAGAACCTCCAGTTAGCTCTGCAAGGTTCACATAGTAGTACCTGCTTTCCATGAGGAAAACATGGATTCAGTAGGTGGAGAAATATAGGGTCACACAGCTTGAACATGGTCTGCTTGGATTTGAACACTTGTATACTCAACTCCAGTGCCATGCTGCTCTTGATGTCCCTTGATCCCTCCCCACATTAAAAGTTCTGAATTAAGGAATTCAGAACCACTTGGTCACTGGTCTATTTTCCCATCTCTATGTTCTCATCTCATGGTATGGGCTTGATGGGCAGGGTGGTTGCCTTCAAGGCCAAGAATTCAGGGACTGGAAATCATCTCTGCTTGGCTTAAAAAGAAGGGGCTTCATTAAGGAACCCTTTTCATCCTTGAGTTTTAAAGCAAGGGAGGCTGGCAGTCTCTCATGCAGTCTGTTAAGACTTGATTTAGAAGGCTTAATACTCTGACCTGAAGTATGTTTCCCCTAACTTTGTCACTGTCACATTCTTCTTTCTATATTTCATTTAGTATCAATAACAGTAATAATACTAGTAGCTAACATGTATTGACAGGTGACTATGTGCCAGGCACAATGCTCTCAACCCTCTATTGTCCCCATTATACAGTTTAGGAAACTGAGGCTACTTCCTTTATACTGCTGCTATGAACTGAGTTATATGCCCCCCACCCAATTCATTTGTTGAAGCCCCACTCTCCAATGTGATGGGCTTTGGGGAGGTAATTAGGTCATGAGGGTAGAGCCTTTATGATGGAATTAGTGCCCTTATAAAGGGAAACTTAAGAGAACCAGCTATCTCAGTCCACATATCAAGGACAGGTCATGTGAGCAAACAGTGAGAAGCAGGTTAGATGTGAGCCAGGAAGAGAGCATTCATCAGGAGCTGTCTGCCAGCACCTTGGTCTTGGACTTCCCAGCCCACAGAACTATGAGAAAGAAATGTCTATTGTTTAGCCATCTGGTCTATGGTATTTTATTGCAGCAGCATGAGCTCACAAAGACAAGTACAACCTCATAGGTTGTGAGAATTAGATAAATTAATATAGGCAAGTAGGTGTGATCTTTAAGTTCATGGAAAAGCCATGTGTTTGTAATGACCCCTTGGGAGAGGGTTCTTTCTGAATTTTTTAAATGATGAATACATATGGTCAAAAAAAATAGCTTTAGTAAAAACAGAAATATTTGCTATCTATGTGTAATAAGATGTTTTCTGTTGTATTGCAGAATCTCTTCCAGTATGTCATCATTTCATCCATCACCCCCTGGAATGCTGAAGGGAGCATATTTTAATGAAAGAAAAACCGAATCCAGAATCAGATAACATTGGCCTCAGATATAGCCCTGCAGGCCCATTACTAATGATGTAGCCTTCGACGAATCCCTGAAGCCTGCGCTTCCTCACCTATTAAATGAGCATAGAAATAACTGCCTTGCAACATCACAGGGTTGGGAAAATTCAAATAATATCAAGTTTCCAAAGCAATTTCATATGTGCCACACCAACAGAAGGCATTGGTATGATCCGGCTTCCCTCCAGTCACAATCTTTTCCCTTTGAGACTGCCAATAATTCCTCTTCCCTGTTATTTCCTTCACCTTTCTTCTGCCAGGAGAACTGAAATTCAAGCAGCCCCTGTCAAAGGCAGTTAATGTAGAAGGGGATATGGTGAAAGGTCGTTTCAGGGCCTCACTCAGCCGTCTCACTCACCTCACAGTCACTATCTGGCCTCCATCGAGGACAACGCCGTTCATCTGGGCAATGAAGATGGCGGCCACTGCTTCGTAAAGGGCTGTACCGTCCATGTTAATGGTTGCTCCAACGGGGAGGACAAATCTGGTCACACGCTTATCAATCCCCAGGTTTTCTTCCAGGCAACGGAAGGTGACAGGCAAAGTTCCAGCACTAAGGAACAGAGAGAAGGAAGGTGGGTGATTGGAGGGGGAGAAGGAAGAGTTGGGGGAAGAGAGAGAAGAGAGAGGGAGGGGAGGAGAGGGGAGGATAAGAGAGAAGAGAAGAGAGGAATTAGGTCCACTGTAGAGAAGCAGAACAAAGAAACTGAATGCCACCACAAAGTTTTTATCCTTCTGTTTCAACTGAGCAATGTGACATACAAAGCAAAAGCTGTGTCTGGAGCCAAGTTAAAAACAGTAATTTGGAGATTCAAATTCAATCTTATTAAGATGTTAATAGGCAGCAAAATATTTTTGTTGGTTCTGGTTTTTGACATCTACTCAGAGCGTCAAATTCCCTTTTTCCTTTGGTCACTATTTCCACCTTGGATTCATAATGAAGCCCATCTAATTGCTCACATTAATTGGGATGCAAGAAAAAATGGGTCAGAAAAGAATCAGCTGTCAACAGTGAAAAAGAATGAGGGATTTTTAAATGACCTATAATTTGATGTTAGAAACACCGATTCCAAGAAGATGACTACGTGGGTTGTGTCAGCCCCTGGGAATTGCCCCGAGCTGGGCCTCTTAATTTTGTAAATGCTGGACAAACATGTTCGGCACTGTTCAGCCTGAACCCAAGCTTCTAACAATCCACTGGGGACCCCCATAGGCAGTCCAACTCCTTGATAAATGGCCAACTCTACAGTCTCCCAACGACATAGGGCAGAAAAGCATGTGCTTTGTAGCTAATCAAAGACCCAGTATGGAGTGACTTCAGCCTCACTCCTCCCAGGCGTGGGATGGGGATTCAATGACCACATGACCCAGCCTCTAAGGTCAGAATGCCTGGCATGTTCGTGTGTCCTCTAAAATAGGAGACCTGTAGGAATATGGTTTACTGAAGACCAGAATATTATTTCCACGTGCGTAGAGATGCGTGGGAGGGTGGGTGGATTGGCTTCAAAGTTTAAGCAACTTGGAAAGTAATGCCAAACATGCAAACTGTCATGAGAGTGCTTTGTGGTCTATTCTCTTATTTTGTTTTTTGTTTTTTCTATGCAAACCTCCAAAGCAGACAGCATTTTCTCTGTCTTCCATTTACATCCTTAGTCATAGTTCTCCTTCTACTAGTCATAATTAGGGCCCCAGCCAAGCTGGACAGACACCTGCAGAGGTCTTGGTTTTTCAAAGAATGGGAGAGGACCACCACCTTCTGAGGAGCTACATGAAATGCAGATTTCAGGGCCTACATAAAACCAAAGAATTAGAAGCCCAAATATTAGCGTCACCTAAGCCTGCTTCTGATTAAACCACTGATCCACAAGTTACTGACAACAATCTAGGCGAGTCAGAGTCATATAACTGGAACATTCTTAGTGATTTCGGCTTAGGGGTCTGTCTCAGAGCCCTTTCTTGGTCTTAGATAAGGAGAAGAAATGAATGTTTGGAGACCTCCCATTACTAAAATCTTATAAGCCCAAGGAGAGACGTTGGAGTCTGACTTCATTCACATATGAGGATGCCAGCATACCTGGCTTGCTGTCCTCGCTGTTGTAATGAAAAGTTAGGGTCCCTTTATCCCTGTACCTTCCCCATCCCACCCTGTCCTAGGACCCCATCAAAGGATTGCCAGGACACCATGATTGGTCTGAAATGGCTGCTCAGCCATGGTTGGTGGCTGGGATTCTCAATGGTGTGAATCTATGGACACTTCAGGGAGGACTGGAATAAGTTAATTCTTATTATTGCATCCATTTCCCCAAAAGGCATCCTTAGATAATTAAACAGATTAGGAAAATAATGGATAAAGCAAGAAAATATTCTGAAAGTCTGTACTGAACAGACTTGTGTCTTAAAAACCCATGTATACCCAACCAATGCAAACTGAGGCTTGAGCATTTTAACACTTTTCTGCCCTTCTCACATTTTGATGTTGGTTTTTGGCTCCGGCCTCAATGACTATATGACAGTCTTAACGTGTTGCTAATAATAACTATCAGATACTTGAGATTCTTTTTTCTTTTCCAGATTAATTTTAACAGCATGTGCTGAAGTCAGAGAGAGACAGAAAGGTGTGTCCCAGGCCAGTCCCCCGCCCGCCTGCCCCCCTGACACCAGCCTCTGCCCACTGAGCAAAGGAGGTCAGCCCCCCTCCACAGCCCCATTTGGCCCAAGGCCCAAGGCAGTGAAGAGGATATTTCGCTGGCTGTCCTGGGGCTTTGTGTGTTTCCCCTCTGGCCTTGATGGCAGAGATAATTCTTAGTACTTGACTCTTGTCACATTGACTTTAATAGAAGGTTTTTTTTTTCCTAAGAAATTCCACATCCACATTTTAACTGAAGATTAAAACCACATTGGTGTCTTGCTTTTTTTCTTTTTTCCCCAAATGAAATACAGGGTAAGGAGGAATAAAGGGTCTAACATTTGTGTGGTTTTGGCCAAATAAGCCAATCATTTGTCTCATTTACGTACAAATGTGACTTCCAGATTTACCTTGTCTTACAAAGGTACTGGGATAATTGTCGAGTTATTTAAAAAAAGGATAATAATAATATTTTTCAAATAGTTTAAAGATCAAAACCATAAATGTTTTGGAACAAAATATAAAGTAATGTTTTATAATCTTTTGTGGAGATGTCCCTGAGCAAATACCAAATACTAAAGGAAAATATTGACAGCTCCAACAATGTACAAATTAAAAACTTCTATTGGCAAAAAGTATTGTAAATTTTTAAGACAAGTGTAAAGTAGAGGGGGACATTATTTGTAACATTTGACACATGAGTTAATATTTTGATACATGAAGAGAGGTGAAAACCAAACAGGAATGGATGAATATCCCAACAGGGAATTAAAATCACAAGAAGTTCACAGGGAGGGGGAGGGGAGGGCAGGGTGGTGAATAGGAATGCAAAGAGATGCTTCCTCTAACTCATAATCAAAGAAATGCAAGTTCAATGAGATCATTTTTCACAATAAGACTGGAAAGTATTAAAGTAGCTGATAACAGCCAGTGCTGGTGAGTAGGTGGTGAAAGACTTTCTCTCACACCCATGTAGAGGGACTTAAACGAATGCACTTTCCTGAATAGCAATCTGGTGATACGTTTTAAAACTGTCAATGTGCTTACCATTAGACTCAGAAATTCCACTTCTAGAAAGTTATCCTGAGGGGGTCATCAGGCAGCCTTGCAGAGAGGTATTTACAAGGATGCTTGTCATAGTCCCATTTAATAGACATGCCTTAAGTGCGCATCATGGGGTGGGGCTGGGGGTTGTACCGTGGTATATACGGAGTACTGTTACGCAGTTTTTAAAACAGTGGAAAGCTCTATGTTGATAGATATAACTTTTATGGTATGTTGACCAGTGAAAAATGGCATATCTACATATAGTAAGAACTGGAAAGATATTTAACTGTAAAGGTTAACTAAAAGGTTGCTTACTACCCATTATCCCTGGGAGGTGGAATCACTGCTGATGTTCATTGCCTTCTTCAAATTTCATTCACTGTCTGAACTTTTTCACGATGAGTAATACCATGCTCATAATCAGAGAACAAAAATAAAACTAAACATCGTTGTTTTATGTTTGGAGAAAAAAAAAAGATTTACTTTTTCTCCAAAGAGAGAGGATTTTTATGATAGAGATACTTAGCCATAAGAAATTCACAGGGCTAAAAAAGAAAAAGCAAATTTTGGAGTGTTTCCCTTTACCTTAGGAAACTGAATACAGAATCTAGATCCCCAGGATTATATATATTTCAGATGTTTTCTGAAACCCCACATTCTACTAGTCCTGAATTCTCACTGATTTGCAAGATGGAAATATAATTAGGCTTCTCGGATAGTCAACACCATTTGCCTGTTAGGTCACTTAAGGAAAACCTGGCTGCCTGTTCAGTAGCTTTGGGACAGAAGTCACCCTGTGTCGCGGAGCAGCCACCTTGTTGGCGGTGCACAGTCATGGGCTCTGCAACAAGGACCTGCCGACTTGTGACTCCAGAGATAACGCTGAGCCGTGGGTTTGCTCACCTTCCTGCCACTTGCTTTATGACCTCAGTCCTAGTTTGTGACCCACGGAAATACAAACAACTATTACAGACTGAAAGAATGAACCGCCAGGTTCTTCTTATGTACTTGTTCTTGTTTATTTTTGCTAAATTCAGTCCAAGATGCGATCAAAAATTTGTTTTCTCTCCTGAGTCCTCATTGCTTCCTGAGGTACTTGAACTAGGTAATGAAAAAGGAACTGACTCTCAGTTAAGGTCAAGTCAAATCAATGCCAGCCTAATTTTCTTAAAATCAGTGGGGTAAAATGGCCCATTAAAGGTTCATGCAAAGGCCAAACACTTAACTGATTTCTGGTTTATTTGAAAAACCTCACCTAACACCATTTACCCTATAAAAGCTCATTCTCCTATTTCTGAAAAATTACTCCAATAGACTGATATTTTGGGATAGCATTTTTCAAATCACAGGTGGGAGAACTTCTTCAATAGAATAACATCCTGTTATACTCTTTCGGAAAACATTTAAAACTAATAACTAAATGCTCTATGTGGCAAGGTAGGCATGCAGGCTAATAGCATGTATTCATCTGAGAAATTTAATGTGAGGTCATATTTCCAGCATACTTGCCTACCAGCAAAAACGTTCATCAGAAAGCTCAGAAGTTCCTAGAAGGAGCCAAAAATACAAAGTGTTCACTTTTTTCAAAAATAGTTTAAGGAGACGTAAAAAGCATTCTCACTGAACTTTGTGAGGGGAAGGTTTTTGAAAGTGAGGAAGTGGCAAAGAGGGTCAAACAGCGAGCAGAGAGAAAAATAGGTGATTTCTGCATTTTGTACCTGGAGGCGGTGCCCAGGGCAGTGATCCAAGCTTGGAATATGCCAGCAAAAAAGGAGAAAGGGTTTTTCCTGGTCACTAGAAAGTAAATCAAGGGGAGAAAGATGCCCCCATGGATGATGAGGCCCACAATCACCGTGACCATGTACATTCCCAGTTGTCGGGCAACCACTTCTAAGTCCTTGATGGCAATGATCTTCCCACAGATCAGACAGGCAATACCCAGGGGAGAGTACCTGAAAAACATTAAAAAAAAAAAAATCACTGAAGAAATTTGTTCAGAGTTTTGCTGGAAGAGGGCCATGAGATTCAGCAGATGCTACATTTGACTTCAGATTAACTGCATTATCTGAAATCTGGTCCATGGATTTGGTGACTTCTACTCTGCTTAAAAAAAAAAGGCAAGCTTTGTTGCTCAGGTGATTTTTAGGAAGAGCAGAGATAAGCTTTACCATTTCATAGGTAAGCACCGAATTTAAAGCTGATAGACCCGCAGGCTATGTCTTTGAGAATCTTGTTTTATTTGTCTTCCCACAGCTCCTTCTTGAAAATTGGCAACAGCCCTGACCAGTGTAGCTCAGTCTGTTGGACATTGTCCCACAAAGTGAAAGGTCACCAGTTTGATACCTGGTCAGGGCACACACCTGGGTTGCAGGCTCGGTCCCCCGACGGGGCGTGTATGAGAGGCAACTGATTGATGTTTCTTTCTCACATCGATATTTCTCTTCCTCTCTTTTGCCCTCCCCTCCTCCCTCTTTAAAATAAATAAATAAAATTTTTAAAAAAAGAAAATTGGGAACAGATCTTGAGTTTCTCATTCAAGTTTCAAGATGCTATAAACTGGTGTTTGTAAATTTGCTTCATTTTTGCCATGGAAGATAGGAAATATATTTAAGAGAGAGAGAGAGAGAACATAAAACAAAATAACCCATCTGAGCCAAACAGTACATTTAGAGAAGTGTGGTTTTATCACTTCTAAGTCTGAAAGTATTTCTTTCCATACTTACTCTAACATAATGCTGGCTCCCTAATGGAGCACTCCACACACATCACCTCATTTAATTCTTACCACAATCCTAAAATCTAGGTATCATTATTCCTGTTTGGCAAACGAGAAAATTGAAGATGGACAAAGTTAAAACACCATCCCAAGACCACAAAAGCAGTAAGTGAAGAAGAGAACAATCTCAGATCTGAAAAACTCCATGACTAGGATTTTTGGCCCCACCGAGCCAAACCACTTTTTTTTAATGAACGATTGTAGTTCTCTGTAGATAAGCAGACGATTTGCCCTATACCAATATATGCTATATAAACTTATTTTAACTTCTGTGTTATTATTACTTTATAGAGCGCTTGGAAAAAATTTACTCTTGCCCTCCCTCTTGAGTAAGGTAACCACATTCTCTCTCATCTTGAGAGTATTTTTCCCATTATTGGCAATATCCCTTTTTTATTGCCCAATATAAAAAAGGTGGTGTTGGAGCTTGAACTTGCTCAGCCTGCAACAATGTCTGATTAAAATAAATATGTCTGTGGGAAGCTTGATACCTTATTAAGAATTAGGAGAGAAAGATATAGGGAAAATGAGATCCTGGGATAAGGCTCTCGACTGGGATAAGGAAGTCAGGAAAGGAAGGGGTCACTTATGTCAGATTTGGTAGTTTTTTGTTGGTGGTGGTTTTTGGTAATTGCGCCCAGAGCAAGCCCTTCCCAGGCTAAAGGAAAGCTGTGAAGAGTAGACGAGAGTCATATACACAATCACATAAAACATGGATCTATCGTCCACTTACCAACTGTATGACCTTGGTTAGTGACTCATCCCTATTTTACAGATGTGCAAGTTGAGGCCTCCTCCAGCCTCGAAGGGCTGCTGTGAGGATTACATTTTGAGCCCGCATATGTATGCTCTGTCAATGATCTCTCCCCTTTCCTGCCAGCACCATTACTTCTCTGACTCCTGACAAAGGAACCCTTGTATGTATGCTCTGTTTTGATACCCATACCTATCATCACCCACGCTTAATGAGTGCGGTCTGAGTTAATGGGGCTTTCTGAAACATCTCACAGGCTCCTGCCACCCAATTGGGGATGTTTTTACAAGCAAAATATTTTCTTGAGAGGAACCTTCTCTGAAAGAGGTAATTTGTAACTGACACAGATTAATTAAAGCATTAGCATAGCCCTGACCGGTATGGCTCGGTGTGTGGGGTGTCCTCCCACAAAGCGAAAGGTCTCCACTTGGATTCTCAGTCTGGATAGATGCCTGGATTGTGGGTTTGGTCCTTGGACCGGGTCTGTAGAAGAGGCAGCTGATCGATGTTTCTCTCTTTCTCCCTCCCTTCCCCTCGCTCTAAAAATAAATAAAATCTTTAAAAAAAAAACCCCCAAACCCCAAAACATTAGCATAGCGGCTTCCCTCATCCCTGCCTAGTTGCACTTCTGCTTTCCCAGGAGTGGAGTCGGCCATGTTTAAGCGCTGCTTCCGCAGGCCTCAGGGAGTCACGTCCTTAAACCTCTGGCTTTCCTGCCATTTCATATTCTCCTGGGGCATCCATAGCAGTCACAACAGCTCATAGATCAGCGAGGTAGTCTCAGGGGCCAGCTCTTTGTTCCCTGGGATTATAGATAATGGAGGAAAATGTACCTTCTGATAAAGCCAACAAGCATTTATCTTCATAAACCAAGAGATTAATTCTTTCCAAAGCACCCATCACTGTTTAAAGATGCCCAGAAAAGCACAAAAACGAGCTGTTTGGGGTGCCATCCAATTTTCCTGCTCTTCAGGGACAAGTAATTTGTAGAATGGAGTGAAAGTGTTTTTGAGGCTCTTGGCCAAGCAAACCCAGCCATAGTGTCCTCTGGAGAACACATCTGGACCAGAGCCAAACAGGTTAGGGAGGGGTAACAGGTTACCTCAGAGCACTCAGCTCTCTGGGAGAAACATGAGTTCCCACTGTAAGTGAAGAGTGTTATTCAAAGACCAGAAGTTAGGGTGTTAGGGGAAATAAATATGGCAAGCAGGGCTCTAGTTGACCCAAACACCTTGGTCTCCAGAACTAGAATGAGCATTAATTAGGACAAGGAATGAGTCTTTGTTCTACGCTATCTTTTAAGGCCATTACTTCCCTGTACCTGTTTTCAAAACAAGTAGCTTAAGCCTCCACTCAGAAGCTGGAGCTTTCAGTTCCTGGGTTTCCATGTCAATGAATTATCTCATTGAAAATGACACTCCATGAAGAAGAAAGGGCCCATGCCCTGCGTCCAAAGTCACCACGCGAAGCTTCTGAGCTGAAGCAAACAATCAAAGCCACAAAACAAAGTGAATAAACAGACTGAGGGCTCCAGTGAGTGTTCTGAAGCCAAATGATGCCCAGGAATTGTTGGACCAGTTTTCAAATTAGAAGAAAATGACTACGGATCTGGGGGGAGGGAATGGAATCCAGGCAGCCCTTAGATATGGTTTGTATCCTCAGTTCTGGGCACTGTTTTCAAAGCCACTGATTCAGCAGGACTGGCCTGTAGAGTCTTTTTCTGACTGTTGCATCATTCACTCTTTCCTCTGCCCAGTTTGTGCCTCAGTCCTTGTCATCCTGAGGTTCCCACCAAGATGCCCCTCTTAGGTTCTGCTCTCTAATCCACAAATGCAAATTAATTCACAGCACTTGACATGCCCAGAACTCAATGAATGTTGCTGTGCCTTTGTAGACACCGGCTTCAAAATCACCCGGTCTGTCTGGTAACAATATGGATTCCCTGGGCCCATCACATACCCACTGAGATGGAATTTCCTGGAGCTGACCTCGGGATATTTATACCTTAAACACGTTCCTAACGTAATTCTGATGTGTTTGGAAACCATTGTTTCAAGGAATAAAACCCCTGATCTGCAACTTATGTAATGCAGGTATTACTAGGTCAGCCTTTGGAAGCCATTTATTTTAGCTTCAATTTATTCAAGACCTCTTTGGTCTTAACTCACTAAATTAAGTCAGGGCTTTCAGGCACAGGACAGATGGTGGGCCAGACACTTGGAGCTAAGGTAAGATGGAGTTAAATCTGTAGGAGTTTTTGTTTCAGTGAATAAAAAACATTCTTAGTTCTGCCATAAAGACACTCTGATTCTTTCCCACACGTTTCCAACAGCAATGCTAGTCTGCCATTTTGGGATATGGATCCCAAAAGAACTCAGAATTGGAACGGTAGGCCAATAAAGAGTTAAAGATACATTCCAATGACTTAAAGGTGCTGTCTGTACTAAGGCTCAGGAAGTAACACAAATTTCCCTTTTGCCCAATCTGCTTAGGAAGAGGTGCTCTGGCTATCCAAGGAGTGATTTTTGCTGACAGCATATGTGGATTATCACATTTTATCAGGTAGAGTAAAAATTAGTTCACTGAGCCTCCAGGCTGCTAACCTACCTACCCTTCCTCCGCAACCAACTTCCTTTTGCAAATACATTGAAGCTCGACTCTCACGGTGGCCTTCAGAGCCCTCCAGGCTGGCCACCTCTCCCACTTCACCAGCTTCCACCACCACCATCTCTCTTACCAAACAACCATATTCCAACCATTCTGGACCTTCCTTGTGCTCCTTGAAAAATATTTCACTTGCTGTTTGTTCCCCCTGGAAAATTTTCCTCTTGGTTCTTCAAATACCTGCATTCCTCTCATTCTTCAGGTCTTCACCAAAAGTCATTTTCCTAGACAGCCCCCCCTGGCCCCACCTGTGAGAGTTCACTCCTGACTCCTATCCCCCCATCACTCTCTATCCCATTTCCCTGTCTAGTGACAGTGTAGCACTGATTGCTACCTGAATTCTTATTTGCTTCCTTTTACTTCCTCACTCTTTCCTTTCAATAGAATGTAAGCTCCATGAGGGCAGGAATCTTTCCCTATCTTATTCGCCATTATGTCACCAGTGCCTAAAATTGTTATTGGCATTGAGGAGGTGCTCATGAAGTATTTGCGGAGTGAAAGGATGGATGGATGGATGGATGGATGGATGGATGGATGGATGGATGTGGTTTAACTGGGAGGGAGAATTGGAAGAGTGAGCAGAGATTTCATTTCTCATTTTATGTTTCTATCATGGTCAGATTATTAAAAATCTGTGTAAGTTTTTAAGATTAAAAAATATTTTAAAGAACTTTGCAAAAAAATGAGATCATGAAAATCACACCAAAATTAAGAGTTCTCTCTTTCTCCCCCCGCCCCTCTGTTTTTAGAATCAGAGAGCCTTGCAAGCTTCTTGAAGAATTCATGAACAGAGAACAGAGAGGAACAAAGATTCTGGATTGCGCTGATGATAGTCATGGTAATCACAACGTAACAATAATAATACTGGTCCATGTGAAGTGCTTGGACAGGTCCTAGAACATAGGAAATGCTCCACAACTGTTGGTTGCAATTTCACTTAATTCTCACAGCAATTCTATGGTGAGGATTTTAGAATCAATCATTTTACAGAATGGGATGTGGGATGTAGAATGTGTCTAAATTGCTTAAAGTCACACAGCTAGCAACACAAGGATCCTGGATCCAATCCAGCCAGGATTGGACAGAGGTTGAGTGGGGTACGGCTCTCATACAGCTTCCATCACTTAGGCTGTGCAACATCAGGCAAGTCAACCTCCGTGCTTAGTTTTCTCACCTGGAAAATGGGGCTAACAAAAGTACCTATTTTTCTTAGGCATTATAATAAAAAATAAATGAGTTAATGCATGTAAAGTAGTTGGAATAGTAGTAAGCCTAATTCAAGAATTTGGTAAGCCTTAGTTATGATTTAATAGTGACTATAATAATGATCATTATCTTCTCAGTAATAAGTAGGTAGAGTCCAGTAATCAAAATAGCACTGAGCATAGAGCAAGAATTTAATAACTCTAAGCTATAATTTAACCATTATTCCTAGAATAATAGCAACCTCCTCAATGCTGTATCTGCTATTATTACTATTCTTACTATCACATACAGAAGAATACACAAGAACTCTGATTCTTTAACCTTTGAGGGGTCAGTTGAAGAGTGTCTGGCTGTTTTATCCAGAACCTTCTCACAGTCTTTATTATCAAACACTGACACAGCAGTTAAAGAATGAAAGAAATCTGTAGAATTGTCCTGTAACACCCTCCTAGATGAGGTAACTAAGCAGCTGTCAGAAATCATTCCGTAGGTCTTATTTCTAACTCATGACTGCTCTCCATTTCCTGGGATATGATGCTGTATCTTTAGGAGTTCTGGTTTCAGTGACTAGGAAACTCCTTGATCCACACCACCCTCCATCTCCGGGGAGAAGAAAGGCTGCATTTTATCCATGACTCATCTGATTTCCTAGACGATTCCCTTTCTCGCAAGGGTTCAGTGGCAATGACGTCGGTACAGACAAAGGACGAAGCTTCCACACACTGCCCACATTACTGGCATCATAACACAGAGACGCGAACTGCATTTTTAGAGCAAGAGTGTTCACTCTGCTAGAAATTCTAGGAAACAAGAGGTCTATTCTGCTTTATGTATTACCATTTACAAAACTCAGCAAGCTCACAATGGATCAAAAAGACTTTTTAGAAATTTCACAGCATCACGTTTGGTGTGACTTTAAATTTTTACACAAAAGAAATATTCAGAAATCTAGTGTTGCCTGGGAAGTTGAATAATCAGTACAGTAGTCAAAAACAACACATTACTTTACTAGTATCCTCTCCATGCTTTAAAAGTACAATAAAGCAATGATCTGAACAAGCTGGACCTGTTAAATATGGTTCAGGAAATCACAAAGAACATCTTCATTATTTGAGACCTGGGGTCTTCAGCTGGCCTACTCAATCCTAAAATTTTAGCAAGAATTTACTACAGGCATACCAGTGTATTTGAGTTGATGGAGATTAAAAAAAAAAAAAAGTCAAGAGCAGACTTTTGTACTTGTAAGGTGGGTGTAGGGGCCAAGGAAAAGGAGAAGAGAGAAAGAAGGTAGAATTCCAGTGGAAGAAGCCACACAGAAGGGGGAGAGGACCAGAGGGAGTGTGAAGATGAGGGAGGGTAGGACTGGGATGTGAGGAGATGCGGAATTTGTCACTCAGAATTCCTGTGGCAAATAGAGCACAGATGTGGTTTGGTCTAATAATGTCCTTTTTTAGTTTTTTTTTCCTAGTCAGGCATACAAGACCATCATATGGGTCTCAAACAAATGCATGTAAAAGTCTGTCAGAGGTGCCACCACTAGAATATTCCAGTGAAAGAAAGTGGCCCAGCTTCCTTAGTGAAGGAGTGGACAATCATGATCTGGGCTACCCCAGATTTCAGAACCAGGGACCATAAACACACATGACATGAAATGGAGACAATATTCCTTGGATGATTCAAACAAAAACACTTCTACCTGGCCATGGCTGGTGTGGCTCAATTGGTTGAATTGTCATCCCATAGACAGAAGGGTCTTGGGTTCAGTTTCCACTCAGGGCACATGCCTGGGTTGCAGGTTTTGTCCCCAGGGTGGGTGCCAGAGGCAACCAATTGATGTTTCTCTCTCTCTCTCCCCGCCTTCCCCTCTGAGCATGTCCTCAGATGAGGACAAAAAACAAACACATACCCATACCCACTTACCCATTAAGGATTTTAATATCAATATGAACTCTAGGTCTCTCTAGCTATATAATCTTAGGCAAGTTAATGCACCCCAGTGAGCCTCAGTTCCTTTTTCTTTAAAATGGGAATAATAATTCACCCTTGCATGGTTGTTGGGATCACATTTGATTGGTACTAAGCAAATATCATAGCTCTTGGCAGGTAAAAGAAAACGAATAAATGATAGCTTTTATTATCATCATCATCATGATGTTAAAGAATAAAGATTTAGTGTTTCTGGACCACAGTTTTCTCTTCTGTTAAGCTAGATGGTGGGGGCCAGATTCCTAAGAGCACTTACATACAGTTCTAATTTATCCTCTGTGATTTCACTTTTACTTGCGTGGTCTGAGAACTGCCTCTTTTTTCTTCTGAGTCATAAGTAACTAGGTCAAAGATACATTGCTTTGAACACCAGAAAACTGGAGCAGTGGGTTATGCCATATCCCTTGTATCTTGGGTTTATCTCAGTTTCCTGATACCACTCAGTTTCAGTATTACTGACTGGTTTTTCCAGCTTGTCTGTCTGTCTCTCAGTATTTTTGTTTTGTTTTGTTTTTTTGTTTTCTCTTCCAGGGTAGGGATCAGTAAACTCTATGAAAAGGGCCAAATAGTAAATATTTTGGGCTTTCCAAGCTGCATAATCTTAATCAAAACTACTCAACTCTGCTATTTAGTGAAATAGCAACCCAGACAATATGCAAACAAATATATGTGGCTGTGTTCCAGTAAAAACTTATTTATGGCACTTAACGTGAATTTCATATAATTTCCATGTGTTCTACAATAGTATTACTCTTTTGATTTTCTTCCCCCACAAAATAAATACACAAAACCCATCCTTAACTTGCAGGCCATACACAACAAATAACAGATAACATTTGGCCCACAGGCTAGTTTTTCATCCCATTTTCTAGGAAAAGTTCCAAAAAGAGAGAGAGAGATTTTCATCCCCTTCTCAAAATCTTTCCAAAGAGCCCTGTGCTTGGTCCATACCTGCCCCCTCTTTCCTGCTGAGAGGGCTCCAATATTTTCTGGGGACCCCATGACCTCATACCCCCACCACAATGAAGGAAGGACAAACCCACTTACCACATGATCATGATCACTAACTTCATTACAATCTCATTCAAAATGTTGAAGAAGTCGACCATCAGCTTGGCCTGCTCTCCCATCTTTCCCATGGCGATGCCAAAAGCAATGAAAAACCCAATCAGACCTGTTGGGTGAATCACATTGCACAGGACACATTATAGAGCATGTGTTTCTTCTCCCTTGTTCTCTACCATCCCCAATGTATGAAGACTCATGCTCATGCCTGCTATCCACCCTATGAATGAGGCATGAAAAGACAAGAGCATTAGATGTCACATTGAAAATACTGTCGTCCTAATAATAATGGCTTTCCTTAACACTTCCCCTGAGCAAGTTCAATTATCAGCAGTATTAGTTCCTTGAAGAAAATAAATTCATTTTCATTCCAAACTAAAAGGTGCTCTCCACTTTCTTCTCACATATGAAATCATGTATAAGCTGATTTATTAGTCTATAGACTAATGAAGGAAAGCTTGTTGGGACTTAGGGCCAATATGAAATTAGCAGATACTAAGTAATCAATAAAGTCTCTGCCAGAGTTTGGTGTTATCCCAAATTAGTACATTGCTGGTATATTTCACTCTAAGAAAATCTAAATGTAAAATTATTTTTTTTAGGGGGCAAGGGAAAGTGGTGGGGGGAGGATGCAGAGACAAATATATTTGAAAAAATAAATTAAAATAAAATTAAAACAATAAAAAAAGAAAAAAATAAAATAAAATTATTTTTCTATGGCTACATGCCTAATGTGAGAAGGAGGAGGAATGTTGAGAAGTCAAATGGAAAACAAAGAGAAATCCAAAACATTTGGGAAACCCCAGATGACCCAGTTTGTTTGAGTTTAACCTGTTATTTATTAATTTATCATAATTCTTTTCATGGTCAAAGTGGTTAGAATGCTGTTTCCAAATAGTATTTTTTTCAAGGTCTTGAAGTCAAGGTGTAGACTTTGTTACTTTCTAGCCCCTTGGCCCTCCTCCCCTCACTTGAGAGGGTTTGACTTACAGATAAGCCCAGCCCCACCTCAGTCTCCAGGGCCAACCCAAATTGCGCCAGAAGGATTTGAGGACCTGTGTCGCTGCTCCTTGATATCAGCATCAAACTGCACTAGGGCCTGGACCAAATCCAATGCTCAGCCTGGATCTTATTTCTCTGTTGGCTTTTTCCTTATTCCCTGTGCCTCAGTTTTTAGTCCTGGGAACCTACTCTATACTTTAATTCCTCCAAGACCTGGCTTTTTGCTCCTCATTAACCCTGTGCCTGGCCTGGAGTCTCACTCAGATCTCCCTGGGACTGGGCACACTACTTGGCTGCAAATGGCCCCATAACTGCATGGGAATGTCTGGATTTCTGATTGCCAACCACCATGTGCCCCATTCCCCCATCCTGGCCCAGTATTGCCACTCTTAGGGCTCCAATTCTGATGACTTGCATGGATCCACCAATGTCCCCTTGGCCATAGGACATTGCTGTCCATCCGACTTTTCTCTCTGATCTGCAGTATGCGTCAGCCTCTCTCCCCTCTCTCTTCCTCCTCTTCCCCACCATACCTTGTCCTAGTTTGGCAGGCCTAATTTCTACTTCCTCCCTCTGATATCCAGTTTCTTACTGTGTCCAGTTATGCCTAAAGTATTGGGCTATATCAGGGAGATTGTAGCACTATAGTCTGATTCTCTCAGAGGGGAATTTTTTTCCTCTCTGAACCTCTGATTTTATCTTTTCCCTTGATACCAAAACCACTTACAACCCCACACCATGCACAGATCAACCCAGATTATTCAGCTCCCCTTCAACGGACTTCTCCATCTTCAGCAAAAAGAACCCAATACTTGCAATTGGGATTGTTAATCACTGACATTTTAATATTTCCCTTTCCAGCTCTTGGCCAGAAAGAATGACAAGTGATTTACTAGCCGTGAAGACAAAGGCTCAGTAAGAATTAGATCCAGGAGAGACTAGCCTGGTTCTGCAGTCATGTATGAAATGAAATCCAGGTTGTTCTCAAACCCTTCTCTTGAGCCCATGGAGAGGAGTCTGAGGTGTATGATAAGAAATAATCTGAACAGTCTGGCCTAGAATAGCTAGTATTACCTGGTTAACTGCATTTGGACATTTTAAGAGAAAATGAGCAGGGTCTCGAGGTCCCAAAGAACTGGAATAAAAAAGTTCTCCTAGCAGGGTCAGCAGAAACTGGCCGTATCAATGGGTATGAGAGAGAGCTGGTTAAAGGGCCATCTTGTACTGTTGATTTAAGCAGTTGGGATTAGAATAGAGCCCAGAGTGCTCTAGAGGTTTTTTGGGGAAGAACGGAACCTTTAAAGAAGTGAGAGGCCAGAGCCAGAGTTTTATCTTTACTTATTGCAATGCTTGATCCTTGGGACTTTCCAAAGCCAAAAACAAAACACAAAGAAAGTCACCATCTCTGCCTTTGGAAAACCATGGAAAGAACCATATTTCAGCTTTACAAATGGGAAGTTTCTCAACAGTCTAACTTCCCTTGGCTTTCCAGGGCCTCAGACTGTACTTGGAAACCCATGCCCAGCTTGTTATTTCCCTCTGGAAACACTGACTCATTCAACTCATTCTGGAACAGTGGTGTTTCATTTGAACAAAGCCCTCTAAGACGTGGTCCTTGAGGGTGAGAGAGTTGTGAGATGTGTCGAAACTCCCCAGTACAGTCAAAGGTCGTGTGACTTCCCAGAATCCACCAAGACTCAGCAAATGACCTTGAAAGTCTTCCGAATGATTCATTCCAAAGCTTTGGCTCCTTTATTCATGGCTTCAGCCTCCTTCAGAGTGTATGGAAGACTGAAGAGACACTTTGCTCACTGGGTTTGGGAAAGCAAGGGTACTTGGGAAGGTCCTGGAAGGGTCACAGATATCTGGGCAGTGGGAGACAAAAGCTACTCTGGGGTAAATGCTGAGGGTATTTGTAAACCTTCCTTCTCAGAGGACTCTTCCATTCTCTCTTCTCTCCTTCCTCCTTCATCTCACACTGATGGCAACAGTGTTTACTGGTTTTTCCATTGCCTAGCAACCAAGTCAGCTTATCGCCACCCTCAATCCCCACTTACCCAACATGCTTCCTGCCACGCCAAAGGAAAAAAAAAAAAAAGAAACCTCACTGAAGCTTCTGCTTTTCAGTAGCTAGACAATCCTTCCCCATCTACCTCTTTCAATTATTCCAGATAAAAAGGAGTAAAGTTACCAAATTTAAAACAAACAAACAAACAAAAAAAACAGGACACCTAGTTAACATTTGAATTTCAGATAAACAATAAATTAATTTTTTAATATCAGTAAGTCCCATGCAATATTTGGAACATACACTAAAAATTACTTGTTATTTGTCAGAAATTCACATTTAACTGGGCATTCTGTATTTTATCTGACAAGCCTACTAAGGAGACAAGGGTATTCAATCTCCTAGATGGGAAAGTGGAAGTTCCACTGAGCTCAGCCATTTCTAAACAGCTCTCACTCAAATCCTGAGAAATCTTGCTTGCATGTATCAACATACCGCCTCCATCCAGATTCCCCATTTTCCCCAGGTTATGGCCATGCGTCCCTCTTTCTTGTCTTGCAGGCACCATTCTAACAGTGGATGGGGGCTAGGGTGGGCAGTGGGCTCAGGGCATAGGTGGGTAGTAAACTGAGCCAACTGGAGTCACTCACATTATGGAGAGGTCCCTACCCTCTGTGGAGCGTGTTTCCTTATTGAGTTCCTCAGCTCACCTTTTACAATGATAGTAGCTCACGTGAATAAAGCACATGGCATGTACAGTTGTGCTGTACATGCACGATCTCATTTCATCTTCATAGTAATCTACAAGAGAAATTCCAATCCACTCCCACTTTACCAATGAAGCTCAGGAAGTAGGGCAACTGCTGCCCATGGTCAGGTAACCGGTGAGTGGGCCATGAGGGGCCCAAGCCCAGTCCATCCATCTCAAGAGCCGAAGAACTAGGATGGCATGCTAAGGCTCCAGGCTAGGGGACAGCGCTCATTAGAAGCCCAGAAAGTTAAACAAGGTAATCTCCTGTTGATGAGCTTCTTTGGGCACCAACATGTTCCTCCTGATAGTATTGCATTTACTTATAGACTGTGAGAGCTGGGGGTGAGGGGGGACATCCCCCATGCCTAGCACAGTACCGGTATACAAGGCCAATTTAAAAAAATGCTTAGGAAATGAAAGAATTGGATGTATCACTTTATGAAATGGAGGGTCAAAGAAAGTGACTTGCTGGTGCCACACAGAAAGTCAGGGAACATGCCCGTGAATGTTCATCCTGTCTCTTTTCCCAGGCCTGACCCCTCTCGTTGTCATGCCCCTCAGGCTATTGCTTCTGCCCATCTCCCTCTCCCTCAATCCCTCAGCTACCTGTCCCAGTGACCTTCAAACGGCTCCCCAGAGAGAGCCTCTTGCTCCCCCTAGAGGACAGCAGAGCCATGGGTTTCCTGAGGACAGAGAGAGGGATGTGAGTTGCTGAGAGACAGGTAAGGCTGGCCATTGTCTCTGAGGCAAAAGAGCCCCACCAAGGAGATGAATACCCATTGGCCTACCTAAGACATTCATGCCGTCCTTGAACTCCAGGCCCTTCTTGATAACCACCTTCGTTTCCTCAGGTGCCTCCGTTGCAGCCTCAGTCAACAGGGAGACGACAGAGTTGGTGACATTGCCCTCCTCTTCAGACTGAGGTGCCACCAGGACTTTCTTCGTCACCGTTTGAATCTAATGGAGTGAAAGAAAGAAACACATAAAGATGAGGCTTGGACCAAAAGGTTACCGAAAGCCTGGCCACTTACCTAAAGTCCCTAGTTATGTTAAAAAATAACTAAGAAATGTCAAAACAAGCTTATGAAAATCGGGCAATAGTTTATGTTTGTGTTTAACAAACTGAGGTTTTATTCCACATATACAGTGGGATACGATTGTCCTCATCGCATGATAATTACAGGATTTATAACACTTATTTGTAACAGACTACAGACAGAGCCATTCAGTAATGGGACACGAGCTTCAAGTGTGGGGATGGATGACTGCTTCTTGAGCCCAATGATTGTAGCTTTGTGCCTCAGGACAATCTCAAATGTCCAATATGGACATTCTTCATAACTGTGAGGCCCAGCTGGATGATCCTGTGGCCTCTTGTGATGGAATCTGGTCAAGAAGAAGGGGACAAGGGTCATCCCTTCATGGTCTGCCTATTTGGCTCCTTCCTGCCTGGTTCCTATGGGATGAAGCCTTCACAGACCAACTCATGTGTGTCCTTCCAGGGCCTTCCAGGCTCTGCTGGAATCTCCATCCGGGTGCCAGATGCGCCAGCTGCCAGCAGCCACCATGATATGGGCATTGGCTTGTATTTCAGGCCCAAATGGAAGCTGGGAAGACACCTGCTCCTTCTGGATAGTGATGCCAAACCTTACTCGATGTTCCCGAAGCATCTCCGTGCAAATGGCCTCCTGAGAACCTCTCATGCTATTCCTCGACATCTGTGGCAGCCATCCTATTTTTAAAGGTGCCAGGCACCCTGCGTGCAGAGTCCTGTGAAAATTCACATCTGAGCCCAGAGAAACACTCCCTCCAGGGGCATTAAAATAGAACTCATGCAGAATCCTAGAATGTCAGCACTGGCACAGAGCAGGCAACAGATGGCTGAACCTTCAATAGATATGGGGAAAAAAAAGCATGGAGAGCTCAAGTGACTTGTCAGACATCATAGAGCTGTTGGCAGAGCTGGGACTTCAACTCAGATGGCATGACCAGCACTGAGTTCTTTGCACCGTGTGTGTGCTGCACGATAAATTCTATGGGCCCAGTCCTATTACAGCTGGGCCCAAGGGTAGGCAATGCTTAATCTGCCTACCCTTAACCATTCATCTGAAATGGCAGGGAATAAAGCACCTCTCCGAGATGAGGCAGGTGCTCTCTGTTCTAGCCTAGCCGCATGCTCTTGGGTAGGCAGGAAGAAAGGCCAGGCGGAGTGTGTGAGGTGGGAAATGCGCAGGTGTGGACCCTTTGGTCTGGGCAATGTTGGCATGAAGAGACAATTCAGGAGTGATCCTAAGGGAAGATTCTACGAGCAACAGAGCTACGCTCCCAGGAACAAAGAGGGGACCAGAAGCTGTCTGAAGACCTATCCTGAGAATACTAAAGAAATAAAAGCTTCAGAAGTTCAAAGTTGTAATGGCCATAGACCTAAATAAATGGCAGTTTCCAGGATCAGGTTGGAGACCAGGTGCTCTGCGTTTGACATCTATTATCTCTTATGTCAAGACTGGTCCCTCAGGCTCACAGGGCTAAGTAACTAACCCCAGGACAGACAGCTAGTAGATGCTGAAGCAGACTTCGAAATGAGTGATGCTTGACTCCAAACCCATCTTTCAAGTATCATAGAGCAGTGGCTTAAGTTGAATATAGGGAGGCAGGGATATGGAAACACAGGTCTGATTCTCTACCTGGGCTCTCAATTCAGTGCCTGTTTGGGTTGGACAACCCTACTTAGGTGCCAATTCTATAGTCTACATGAGAACAAGCCACCAGGTCTCTCACTTTAAAACCTGCAAAAGCCTGCTCAGGGACCTTCCCACCTCTCTTCTTGTCTACCTACAAACACCAGGTAAGTATAGCTACCTAGAGCTCTGTCTATATCCATAGATGCCAGGATGTCGCTTTTTTAAATAGAAAAGCAGCCATCTCTCTGCCTAAAACTCTTTTAGAATAAGAACCCAAGTCTGACCCCAGCTCCCCAGGCCCTGCCCGAGCTGGATTTTGCTTCCTCCCCTCCCTGCCACTTCCCCCACACTGGCCTCCCTTCTTGCCTCTGAACCCACTAAATACCTTCCGGCCCTTGCCCACCTGCACCTCTGCTGAGCAGGCCATTCCCCCCAGTTCTCACCCAGCCATCCTGATCCCTCAATGTCTCAGATTCAGACAGCTCCCGCAGTTACTGCCTAGCCTACCATCCTGCCTCCAGCCCTTAGAGCACACATCTTTTCTAAGTATCTTGTGTGTTTACCTGATATTCTTTCTGATCTAGCCCCCCTCACACTCACCCAGTATAAGTAAGCTCCACAGAGCAGACAGCCCAACTTCCTCATTCCCTTGGCCTTCTGAATGCAGCAGAGAGTGTGGCACCTGGGAGGTACTCATAGCATCTGCCAAGCGAGCAGACACAGGTCACTGAATTCCATGGAAGAGAAGAACCGCTATGGTCCCTATCGCTGGTCATGGTTAAATGTGCTCGGGCCACACCCTACAGCCACGGATCTCTTGGCAACCTCACCTTGTTCCCCAGTCAGCCTTAAGTAGCAAGAAGGAGGCCTTCCTGCTCTCCAAGACACATGCCCTGGCACCTCAGGTGAGACAGACTCTGTTCTAGGGACAAAGCAACTTCTTTTTTTAAAATTTCATCTTTATTATATTTTTTTCCATTACCATTTTGTTCCCTTATACCCCTCTCCACCCAGCAATCACCCCACTGTTGTCCATGTCCATGAGGCACCTTCATCTTTATGTCCTTGTTAACTGGTCATGAAGCCCTCTCCACCCAAGGAGGCGATTTGAAATAACCTTGAGCTTGACCTGTGGACAGGAAGGCGCCATTCCAGTACCCTTCCCCTCCGTAACGTAATGTCACCCTGTAAGAGTTCCCTTTCTTCCAACACTTTTCAAGGCCCGCCTAAGCCCCTGGCAGGACAGCTAGTTTAAGGTCCCCTTCCTCTGGGCTGCCTGAAGTCTGGCTTAAGGAATCTGTACCCTCCCTCTCCCTGAGCTAAAAGATTCCACCCAACTCTTTCTCTGTCCTAACCCAAAGGGAATGTGACTCTGGGTTTTGCTGGAGGACTAAGGGCTCATTCCTCATATGAATTTTGCCAGTGGAGGGGGTGCTCAGGATGGGCCTGGGACAGGGAATGCCACAGTCCTCTATTTTAGTGCCGTACAGTGCCCCCATGCCACGCGTAGCTATGTGCAGAGAATTCCCTTTGACCAGAGAGGTCACCAAGCACAAGTGTGGCAGGCCACAGAAACTCACCCCAAGACCACAGCAACAGCGCTGAATGCCTGCCTGTTTCTCAGTCCTGCTTTATACACTGACCTCCTGCATGGAGCTTGGTCGGGACTAGAACCAGAAGGAGGCCCCAGTCTGTCCCTCCCCTGTCCTGCTCATGTTGCCCCCACCCCAACTCTTCTACCAGCTCAGAACCAGAATGCTCTTACCAAAACAGCAAGAATAGACTTGGCACCCAGTTGTGTCTATCACCCCAAAGCAAGCAAATTCACCTAAGCAGGTTGGCGGAGGGGCAAGCACGTTATACAAGGAGAGGGCCAGTCAGCACCCACCTCTTTCTATCTACTCCACATCCAGGTGCCCTTGCCTGGAATGGCTCTTGTTCATACAGCTTCTTGCTACAGGGGCACTAAAGTGGCATCAGGAATCAGGGAACATACCCCAACCCAGAGTAATCTGGGCTCAGCAGTGGTTGGCAATTGCATTTTGGGGGCAGCTGGGAATGCAGACTTTTCCTCTAAGTGAACTGTTTCCTAAGGTCATTCTTCTGGGATTCCCTGGAAATGTCCGAAGGAAGCTTCTTGGTTCCAATTTAATTCCCACTTGAGCTGATGGGAACTGAGGTGTATTCTAACCTGAACTGGCCTTAGGGCCAGGCAACAGGCTGGTGAGTGGGGCCCAGGCAGCTAGCTCAGTGGCTTCACTCAGCAGAATCGTCTATTCTGAAGAATCACAGCTTTTTAAAAATAGATATGCCTGTATGCAGTGGGTAGGAGTGTTCACTGCTGCAAACTTTTGCAGTTATTTTGCAAAGCCCAGCAAATTCAAAATATAAAACTCCTTGGCAGGATGTTTTAGCTTCTAGGAATTTATCCTTTAGAAATGCTATGCAACCACAAAAAAAAAGAAAGCAAGCGCGAGAGAATGCTGAAACACTCTGAAATGAGAAAGCAAGGTGCACCATGGTATATGTAATGCAGTAACACTTGGGTGGATTTTTTTTTTAAAGATTGTATACAAATGGATTTTACATACACACACAAGCAAAATTCTCAGCTCTAGGGATGGGAAGGGAAGACTTGAATTTTTACTTTAATGTACATACATCTATACTATTTAAACATTTCACAATCCTCATGTGTAACTTTCCTAATTTTAAAAATACCCAATTCCCCTGCCTACCCTGGAGATTTTGGTTCTGTTGAGCATGTGTATTTTTTTAAATACATCATCTGTGGTTTGGCTATACTGCCAAAATCTAGAACCACTGGGAACTCTAGAGGGCTGTGGGCAAGGGTGATAAAAATGTCCCTTGGACAACACAGACATTGGACTAAAAAAAGAAAGACAAAAAAGGAAAAAACAAAACAAAACTAGAAGTGGTATTGAGAGCTAAAAAAAAAAACAGGGGTGGGAGGTTAAAAAAAACCCACACAACTCTAAGCCCCAAACCCTGCCCCAGATCACCTCATGCATCCCTAGAGAGAGGTAATTAAATATTAAGACAATCACTCCCTAGATCCGGTTCATTGAAATAGACTCTACGTTAGCACCTGGGTAAGCCGGGAGCTGGGACAGGTGAGAACATCAGAACTTTGGGTTACCTGTTGAAAACAGGCTTGGACAAGGTTTTCTGGGAAGAGATTTCTAATAAGGTCCAAAAAGGCATCCAGGCTGGACACTTCATCATTCTTCTTCCCAGGCCCCAGCTGTTTCTTCAGCTTGGGGTTCCCTGGGTGGATGGCCAAGACCAAGATGACCCCCAGGACCGCGGCGATGATGGTTGTGGACATGTAATACACCATGGCTCTGGTGCCTAGGCGCCCGCTGGCTTTGGCATCCAGGCCTGACAACCCTGGATGGAAAAGAAATCCAGAAGAATTAATTCTGTATTGCTTCCGTTAATTGCCCATCTCTGCATACCTATAACTTAGCTTCCTAATAGTCTGATGCATTAATGCTTAATTAAACCTCTTTCTACTAAATTTCTGGTCAATCCCACAGTTCACAATTCTATTTTTTAAGGGCATTTTTGAGATTCTACAAAACTGCGGAGAAATGATGATCTCTGATCCAGAGTTTATAAACTGGTCAGTGATTAATTTTTGTCAATCTGCAAGAGTGAATTAAAATAGAATAAATTTAATTTTTAATCATGAGATTATATCCTCCCCACTTAATTGGTGTCAAAATATCCTTTTATGAAGTGATGGTGCTGGTGCATGCTAGTTTTTTTTACTTGTTTTCTCTGTTGCTGTTGCTTTTCATGTCCTCACTTGGGAAAATAAAAAGCTGGTAGCCCCACTTCAAGCCTTAAAACTTGTGAATATATTACAGATCATTGAAATTGAGTAAGGAATAGTGATGCAGAATAGCCCTCTCATATTCTCCATCTTGTGTAGGGATGAAAGAACACATGCATAAAGCACTCCCAAAACCTGGGTGCTTCACCCAAACTGTGGGAGGTTCTGTGATTGTTGGAGGAAATTCCAAGCAAGTCACAAAAACTCCAGCGTTCGTGGGTTTTTTTTCCAATTGTTTCTTCAGTTCTTCTACTTCCTGGTTTCAGTTCCTGCTTTTACTAGGCAGAGAGATAGCACCCCATTTTTGGCATGGGGGAGGAAGTCCTTGATGTTAACGTTTTTGAATTAAGCTGACCCATATATAACATGACCCACTTCTTACAACCTAAAGTCTAGTTCTCGCCAATGGAGGGTAGGCTTCCTTATCAGGTTGGCTAGCATGCAATCTGTTAAACAGGCACAGAGAACATTTTCTCTGGTTTGGAAGGGAACACTTAAGGTGAAAGCACAGCCTCACTCAATCTGGGGTTGAACGAAAAAGAGTTTCCGGAGCCCAAGCCCCAGCATTTCCAGTCACTGGGTTCACTGGTTGAAGATATGAGACTATAGGATGACCTGCCTTAGCATCTGAATCTCTTGGCATTACCAGAGTCTTGCTTCTTTTACAAAGAGGACAGTCCAGAGGGACAATTTTCTCAAGGTCACCCAACCTGCCAGCACCTAAATATAGAGCAAAGCCCAGCATTTCCCCTTAACTTGGAGCTTAGTCTATAAACTTCAATTTATAGGCTGTTCTAGTAATATCATTTGGTAAGGAGGAAGGTACCAGTAGAAGCCCATGGAGGGAAAATACTCTTTCACCCATAAAACAATTTTTTTCAGCTAAAACAAGTGACTGTGATATATATAAGGCTAATTTTCTTCTGAAAAAGTCAAAGAGCTTTCCTATCTAGTATTACACTTATTTTAATACTTGCCTCTACACCCAATTAAATAGTAAAGAAAGTTTCTTTTCTATTTATTACCTTTATCAGTTTCTGAATAAACTATAATTTAGAAAATGAGAAAAATATACATTAAAAATTAGAATCACTACAGGTACCATCATTTTTAACATAAGCCTGCTTCCTTTTTAACTTTTTTTGCTGGACAGGCAGATGGACTGACCGATAGATAGCACACTTCTTTTAGTGTTGATTGTCCCCATTTTAGAGACAGGAAAACAAAGGCTCTAACGTGAAATGGCACAGATGATCCCATTCATTCCTGCAACTACACTGAGACTCAATGGTCAATCCAGAAGCTGGATCAAGAGTATGGCCCGCTTCGGCCAGGCACCACAGAGGCAGGTGGACTTACCTGTGATTAAACTGGAGATGATTAGAGGGAGGATGAGCATTTTGAGCATCCTCATGAGTATATCCCCTGGGAAGGCTATTAACATAACCACGTCAGGGTGGATAGGAGATGCCAAGCGAAGAAGCCCTCCACATACTGCCCCCAGGATGACACCTACAAATAAGGAAAGGGGGGAAATCTGGATTTATTTTTTACCCTTGTCGAATGAATATAGCTCTGAGATTTTATATCGGTGACATTGACCTTTCCCATTATTCTCTATTATCAGATGATGAAAAACATGTAACAAAAATACCACTAGATAAGTGAAGCTGATTTTGAGGACTAGGAAGAGAATATTGTGTACCTCCAGCTCCTCTAAAAGGCAGCTCTGGAAGAGTCAAGGACAGTCTCCTCAAGGCTTTATGGGAAGTATACCATGGCAACTGGACTCCAGCTTTTTTGAGACTATCATCCATGTGTAGTGTCAGAGATTTGTCAGTAGAAACAACAACCGGAGTGTCAGAGATTGCTTCTTCTCTCAGCCTGGCCACATGTGTTTAATGTGTTTCTTCTCTTTTTAATTGGATACCCGATAAAAGGAACATTTGATTGACAAAGCTAATGTGAGTTTCCTGTTTCCTTCTGTTTCCTTTAACTTCCAATAATTTCCCCATGGTTTACCCTTCAGAAGTTTTGTCCTTCACTTCTGTAGCCTGTTACATAATCTTTAGACTCACTGATCTTATGCAAGATCAAGGAGGGTCTCTAAAAATACATCACTTGAGAGGAAACACTTTAGGCAAAGATGCTGGCAGGAGCCTTTTGTTTTGTATACTCAGGGATTCCATGAGAAAAACTTCAGATTTCTCCAACCAGGCAGCCAACATAAACAATCCTTGTGGAAACCACAAATCAGGTTATTACACCACTGACTGGGAGGAAAGGAGGGAGTTCCCAGTCTAGGGGCGACAGCGTTAACTCCAGGGAAACAAAGGGAGTCACGTGACCAAAAGCCTGATCTTTTCTTCTTCTATAGGTGAAAGATACTCTCCTTCAAAACTTATGATGAATGACATGTGCTTATGTGGAGGCTCACCCTTGGAAAGCCCTGCCATGCCTGTGGCTTCCTTTTATTAAGCAAGCTGAGCGATGGCAAGCTCCCAGCACTGGCCCTGGTACACTGAGATCTGAGACAACTGACTCAGAACAGAAGCCATGGCATGAAGGGTGCGGGGAGGCGCGTGGGGGTGAGCAGGTAAGCTTTCCATTGCTTCTGTGTGTAGCCTACCTACATGACAGCGGAAGGACAAGGGAGGGATCAAGAAAGGAAATGGTGTGGTTGTCATTATAAGAAACTGCAATTTACCACATTTTCAACAAACCCTGGTTGAAAACCTAAGACCCAAATAGTCACACAAAAGGACAACCGTGGCATGGGTGAGGCCTGAAGCAGGGGAATAAGACCTTTGAGATAGACCAGGAGAAGGTCAAGGCTTTAAGACGAGCCTCTCCCACACTGACCTCAATGAGCTAATGTGCTAAATTAATCTAATAAAATTTCAGACGAACTCAGACCTTGCAAGCCATCTTAGTGGGGTTTTCTGCAACTGTTGCCTTTATCTTGATGGAGATATTTCTCTCATTGCGGTACACTGACCATCTGCTTTCGAATCATCTAGAAGGTTTGTTAAGATACAGAACCCAGGACTTTGCTCCAGGTGGCCCATAGGCAAGTCCCCACAGGTCAGTAGCCCTGGGGGTCTGCCACCCTCATGGGCAATGTCTGCGCGCACTGAAATTTGAGAACCACTCGCATCCCAGGGAGGAAAACTAATGGCTGGGGCAGGTGAGGGGGAAGTGATACCATTGAGGCAGCCCTGCTGGGACCAGCCGGAGCATAGCGGAGGGCTGGCTGCAAGAACCAGCTTCCCTGCAGAGCCAGGAGAGACCGACAGAAGAGGGGCAGGTGGGGAGGTGCCTGTCACCTACCAAACACCGTCAGAGTGAGCAGGAGGTTCTTCCCCAGCTTGTCGCACAGCCGCCGCCCCAGATGCCGGGGCTTTGGCTCCTCCGAGCTGAGGTGGCTGTCGTGCATTCGCACTTCGACCTGCTTGGGCATGATGTTGGCACTAAAACAGAAGTGAAGGCCATGGTTAGCGACTGCAGGGCGCCTCCCCGACCCTGTTTGAGGGATACCAGGTAGGAGGAGGAGTAACAGGCCTCCTCCAGGCATGGGAATCAGGAAACTTTGGGGAGAAAATCAAAACAAAAAAAGCAACTCAGGGTATCCCAAATCCTAATTCACCCAGAAGCAGGACATGAGGACTCACCAAACGTTTACGTACCAGGAGCTTTGGTCCCTATGACCTTGGATCATCACAGTAAAGAAAGGCTGCAGGTAGAGGGGGCATTTCCCAAGAGCTGTTAACCCCGTAACACTCAGAGACAAGTATCCCAGTCCCATTTGACAGAAAGTGACTTGCCCAGGGTCACAGGCTAAAAGAAATGGAGATCAAACCCAGATATGTCTGGCTCCAAAACCTGAGCTCTTTCCTTCTGTAACAGCTGTGAAAGGGTGACTTTTGAGTAACTAAGGTCACTGCCTAAGTGTTACTAAATTAAAATGCCTCCAAGCTCAAGCCTTCCCCATCCTGGACACAGAAAAGTCTTAAATGCCGAGAGTCCAAGTTTTGTCTCTCTTTCAGAAGAGATGGTTTATCCTTTAATCCTCTATGGTCTTGTAAAGATCACTTGCATTATCAGGGCTCTGCTAAGCTGCCCAGGATTCAGTATGACTCAGTGTCACACAAATATGGTCTTAAGAAGCATGTGATCACCTTCACCCTGAATGCAGTCCAGCCCTTTTCCAGATAAATCCATGTGGTCCCAAGCTGTGCTGAGAGTCTACAATGGAGCCCTGGTGAGGATAAGGGGCATACTTGCTCTTTTTTTGAGTTTTGTTATTTCCCAAGACAGTAAGATTTCAAATTTAAGCTTGAGAATTGACATAGAGAGGCCAACATAGAACACTTGATAGTTGCCATTTGCAATCACTGTCATTTGATAAAAGAAAAAAAAAAACAGCCTTTAACATCTAGAAAGGCAGGCCACAGTCTCTTAATAAATGACAGTGCCTTGTGAGATAGAGAACGTTAGCCTCACTCAGATATTCTCACTGCAGACTGGAGAACATGCCCTTCAGGACCAACAGCGATCTGCAGAGCTGTAGTTTGCCATCATTGGTTATAATGGAAATAGCATAGGTTTTACAATCAGAAAGTCTGGGTTTCAGATCCTGAACCCATCACCTGCCAGCTGTGTGGTGTGTAGAAACAAGGGCTTGATGCCAACCTTGAGGAAATTGAACACGATCACCGATGATAGAGGCCTGGCCTGGCAGCTGACACAGGCAGTTCCTTTCTCCAGAGACGATGAAGAATAAACATGCAACAGTCATCAAGTTCATGAGGAGGGTGACATTTAACTCAGGGATCTACCCAGGTGCACCACCATTCCAATTAGACACCATGCTTAGTGTCCGATCTCAGAATTAAGGCCAGAGATCCAAATACAACGACACACTTACTTTTTCATAACAGGCTACTTCATATACTTGCTACCAAAGTGCAATTAAAATTGGTAATACTGTTGCATGGTCTGGTAAAATGCCCAGAGGAAATTATTAGTCAAAATTATAAACTTCTTTGTGTCTATCTACTCGATGGCCTAATTTCCTACTCATTTTGTCAGCTGTCAGGCAACCTCTGACTATCTCACATATGTGCGTGCTAATGATCACTCAGACCATCTGAAAAAGAAAATTGGACATGACTGATCTCAGCAAGCAGATGAGGTCCTTCCTGATCAGCAAGCAATAAATACCACTTCCTCTCATCACCAAGTGAAACAGACAGAAAAGTTCTTGTTACAACACGGCAGGGGGAAATGATCAAAACAATCTTTTCAACATGGGTAGGCCATATTTTTATGTTTGCATTGGAATCTTTTTATATTTTTAAACATTTCTCTAGCCAGTATGCTGAAGCTCTAAACCAGAAAATTGGCAACTAAGAATAGGGGTCACATGTATTTGAAATAGTGACTGTATTCCATTAGCCAGCCCTTGGTAAACCTCTGGGACCCCCTTGAGGTTGTCACCCCCTGCCTTCTGTTTCCACTGAATCCCTCCTGCCATTGAAGTTAGAATCAGGCACATGGTTGGCATTTAAGTGAGACTAACAAGCATTTAAAGCAAACATACTGGCCAGATCCATATAAGTGTCAGGCACCAAAACATCCACGTCAAAGTGAAAACGTGCAAATACTAGGTTAACATACACACCCGATCCAGCAATGTGTTGGATGCCCATTGTACACAGTTTTTACTTGCACAAAATATGCTTAATGGTGTGTTTTGTAAGCCATGACAAAATGTCCCTGAAGCCCTGAATCAAAACAGCCACATCAAAGTGGCAACATCAAAATGCTATGAGCCCACAAGTATTTATTGAGAGAATTCCTGTAACTTGCCCTCTTGGCATTAAAGAAATGCTCCAGGCTTATAGGAGTTTCTAACATCTGCACATCGAAAAATTTTTTTTAAGTGCATCAAGGCTTCAGCTTGCATCTGGGGACACAGGGAGTCTCTTAAGAACTCTTTGTAAGACTCCACACCAGTCTAAGCGATCCCTGCATGCCCAGACCCCCGAGAGCCTGGACTGGGGCATATGATGGAATATCATGTCACATAATATTATATAACACAATATAGAGATGCTTCTAAGCCTTATAATCTTCAGAACAGATATAGTTTTTAAAATGTGATTACAGACATAGAGAGCTATGTAAATGCTGGTTACTGAGTATACATAGCAATGATGGCACTGGCAAGGCTAAGGGGTATTTACAGAGCACTCTGTGTCAGACTCTGTACTCGGCCATAGGAAGGTGTAATCCTTGCTCTTCAGGAACTTATAAGGGGAATCAGAAATTACATTGTACCTTACTTGTCTGCTTTACCTATGGGCCATGAAAATGTTCTGCCCAGGATGATACAGAAAATGGTAAGAATGATACTTAACCTAGTTTTGGGGAAGAAGAAGAGTGTCCTAGAAAGGCTTCCAAGAGGAGCTGATGCCAGCTTTGGATCTTAAATGACGGATGGAATTTAAATGTGTACATCTCTCACCAGCCGTGCACTGTGGGAGTGCAGGACTGTGACCTTTAACACCTGGTACCAAGTGCTTGATAAATGTTTGTTCAAAGATATGAAGAATTGGAAAACAGCTAGAAAGGGCACCTTGCTTTCTCCTGGGAACAAAGCCCTTCTGCGATGGACCGGAACATGTCACTTCGGCAAGCCCCTTACCTTCTTACCTTTGTTCTACAGATTTCCACTGAGCACATATTACAGGGCCCATGCTGTTTCAGGAGCTAATGATAGCGCCAATCAACAGAACAGACAAAGCCCTTGTTCTCATGCAGTGTATGCTTTAGTGGAAGAACAAATAAATGGATAAATATATTTCAGGTGCAGATGAGTGCTAGGCGGAGGGGACATGTGGGAAGAAGGCAGAGGTATTTTTGCATCAGGAGACCAGGGAAGGCATCTGTAATAAGGAGGCATTTGAACAGAAATGTGGAGGGAATGAGGGGTCTCCTGAATTAATTGTGCAATGTGTCCAGAGCTTAGCAAATAAACGGAATATACACAGTTTGGAAATATGCATATCCAAATTAGAGCCTGTAGCTCCCACCAGATGTAACTCCTGGTATCCATGTGTTGGGTTTTAGCATGGGCACTGATTCAAATGAATGACAGCTTAGTAATGCTAGGCCCTATTACCACCAGGAATATGATAGACTTTCAGTGACTCGCTCAGCTCCCAGTGAAAGAAAAGCAGCCCCAGGGAGAAGAGAGCTGGACACAGGCAGAGGTCTGAGGTTGCAGTAGCCTGCAGTTTGCTTCCATAGCAGTGAGCAGAAAGGGCAGAAGCTGGTCTGGGTAAGTCCACTGGATAAACACAATAATTATTTCAAGTGAGCACACTTACCCTGTACGAATACTCCCTCACTACCACCTGTGTCTTTGCAGACAGACCCACATGCTAGGGAACTGGAAAGCCCAGGTGTGACTTGGTTATACCAAATTCGCCAAGCCTGATGCTTTCCAGCACTGTGGGCCACCACTAGTTCTATTTGAGTGCCTTCTGAATGGAAGATTTAGCAATGCAATTCCTGAGTAGTGGAAGTTTCCGTAGGCCGACTCTGCCAGATCACTCTCCACTCCCCAGCAAAGTAAGGCCGTGTGATGAGACAGCTGTTGGATAATTAGAAGCTTGAACAATGAGCCTATAATTTCCTTCAACCAAAACTCCTCCATTAAATTATTAAAACAGCTGTTAATTTTGCAGTTGCTGCCCCGTTCTTTCTCACACAAATCCACGAGTCCTGCTCCCGTGACAAGCTGGGAACATTTTTCTTTGACTCAAAAAGGAACATATAATGGGGCTGGTGCTAGGTTTTAAATTATTCTCAGAAATTGCTTTTTATTAGCATCTGATTTCCCTCGCTCTGCCAAGAGCCTCTACTAATAGGCTCATTAGATGTGGGGTTGAATTCAGAGTTCCTGCCTGTACACTTCGGCTTTGCCTCATCTGGCACCAAATTCTTTATTCCTCCTTCACTGGTTTGGTGAGTTGGTAACAGAACATTCCCTAGGGGGAACCTAACAGCAACTGGATGCGAGGTCTGCCGCAGGTATCACCCGTCCGGCCTTCTGCTGCCTAAATCTAAGAACGTGGGGAGGAAACAGGAGATTGCCCTAATGGGTCGGGTCCTTGGGAACAAAAAATCCTGTTTGTTGAAGGGACTTTCCCCTAAGGTATTTGGCATGTTTGGAAAAGAATGCTGGAAATACCACTGGTATCAGCTCTGAGTACTGGTCACCATGAAGCAGTGATTACAGCTGTGACTGACCCACATCTGGGATTTCCCAGCTCCCTAGAGAATGCCACTGTTGCTGTAAAAGGGACTGGAATTCTAAGGCAGCTGGGCATTTCCAACAGCCCTCCAGTTCCTCCACCCTTGCTAGAACCTGTAAGACCTGGTTAATGTCAAGAGCCTTCACTGACCAACAAGTCAGAATCTCTGTCTGACACTGCTGTGTATCATAGATTCTGAGAAAGAAACCTAGAGGTTCAGAAGCTTTAATCCCTTCTTCTGTTCACTTTTAGCCACCGTGTCCATTTCTTGATCATAAGAAAGGCCCTGCCAGGGAACTCCAGACTTCACAAATGATACACTGTTTCTGTAGTTTTTTTCTTAATATTGGATGGTCCAGGATCAGAACTAGTGGGCAACATGAGACTGAAAGTTGGCGGGGGTCGGGGGGTGGCCTGGGTTTGAATTCCAGGGCTCCTGCTAACTGGTGGTGTCAGAAATAGCATGCACGTAAAGTGCATGTAAAGTTACTTGACCACAGTCAACAGAGAGAAGGGTAAGAACTAAGAAATGATAAAAACACACTTTACTGTAAGACACCAATAGAATTTAGGTATTGGTGTTGGCTGATTTTCATTTTTTAGGTCCCAGGCTCTCAATCTTTAAAATAAAAGGGTTGGATGAGAAATTCTTGAATGTTCTACATTTCTGTGATTCTCAGGTTCGAGGGGGTATTAATAGCCCTCCGTTCCAGGAATATAGCCTCCATTGTATGCCATTCTATCCAGAACTGAAAAAGCTTAGCATTTACCAGGAGACAAATCACTGCATCAGCCACAAGGGGACAGCCCCATCACTGCACACATCCCTCGCAGGGAAGGCAGACAGGCGCTTAGAGACAAGAGGCAAACCAACAATAACCACCCTTTCTTTGTCTTTATGTCCATTTTTACCTTTCCTATCTCTGCTACAAAAGCATGTTTTTCTAGCACTACTAAAGCTGATTCAATCCACATTTCAGAACTAGACATCTTTTTAACCTCCATCCACACTTGACCAATTCTCAGTCTAAATTTCTAAGATAGGCAGGTCAATACCATGAGAATAGGGATGCACAGGTGAAAGGGCATTGGGACCAGCCAATTGCCAAATGCACCACTAAGTCACCAAAAAGCCACCCATTGCATTCACAGCCAAGTCCTTGGAACTGGAGAGGCCGCACTCCCGAAAACATTTGAGATGAAAATTTGAGGGAAAGTGGTCTTTTTCTCCCTATCACTTTCCAAGAGAAGGGGCCCAAACTGGCTAATGAGATGAATGGCAAATATGGAGTGAGCAGGGGCCTTTGGGCATCCTCACAAAAGGGGGAATGAGGAAGCAGTACGAGATAATGTTGTGAAAGGATCACTAAAGATAGCATTCATTTTGCCCAGAACAAGAGTTAAACACCACTGATAAGCAGCCATCTGAAGGCAGCTTCATGGACTACAATTACATGATTACAAGGCCATTGGATTCTTAGTTAAAATCTTCAAGTTACAGCCATAGTTGGGATGAGGTGTTTGTCTGCCCTCTTGGACAATAATACCCAACTCACCAGGTCAGTACAGAGCTTAAATAACATGTAACGAAAGCACCAACAGTATTTAATATAACTGATACTCAATTTTAGTTTCCTTCCCTTGTCTTAAATGACTAAAATGGTGCAAGACCACCATTAAGACAGTGTATTTATAGTTGAGTTTTTGTAAACCACTTTGGTAACCAAGGATACTTGTGCTTTTTACTAAAAGAAAGCCCCAGAATAGCCCAAGTGGCTGGGGGCCTGGAAGGTCCCAACGCTGTAAGCTTCCATATTGCAGAATGACTGGAGAACCTCTCACAGAGCACCAGGAGTACAGCCTTAAGTATAACACCTCTGGACTTTTGTAAAATCCTCCCCAGGGTTGAGACCTAAGCTGGCCTTGACCCAAAGGATTTACCCATTTCCAGAAAGGCTCACCACCAAAGCAGAAATAAGAAGACACCAAGGAAAAGTGAAACTCCAGGGCTGGGTGAAAGACTAGGGTGGGGTGTTTAATCATCCTAAATTGGGGACCTCTTCTACAAATAAAGATTACACTGCGGTCAAGGCACACACTGGCCAGCCCAGTCCCCATAGGCATGTTGATTCTGAAGTAATTTCTACCCCCTGTGGTTCGTAGAACATGAAAATGCATTTGAAAGCTTCACACAACTGCAATAAAGTAAGGGAGATTCATTTGGCATGCAGCCTGCGTTTGAGCCACAGGAAACTTGGCCCCAGTTCCAGTTTGCCTTGAAGCAAACTGTGTCCTCCAGCTAAAACAGCCTCCCCACACCGCCCCCCCCAACCCACTTCTTAGGCTAACTTCTATTTCTTCTTTAAAACCCAATTCCAGCATGACTTCCCTCAGGAAGTCTTTGTGGATGCCCAGGTTTGCTTTTTTTAGATGTTGCTCCTATAGCTTACTTGCTTATCTGTGTTTGCTTCTCTCAAGGTGTTTTTACTGGAAAGGACCTCTTTTGAGGTATTTATCACAATTTACTTGTATTCCTCCCCCCCCCCCCCCCCAGAATATAAACTCTTTGAGGGCAAGGTCTTGACTTATTTGACTCTGTCTCCCTTACATCCAGCATGGTTCCTTGCATAAAGCAGATGTTCAATTATTGTACGTTGAACAAATAAATGAATTAGTAGGCAAATAGAATTGTTGGAAAGCATGTTATAATCACAGGCTCGATATGACACTTGGTTTTAGTGGATAGTGTTCTGAAAGACTGGGAAATCTGAAAAGAAGTGAGAAATGAGAGCAAAAGTACAAACAGCTGCATTAGAAAAGCCAGTGGGTGGCAGAAAGGTGCAGGTTGGCGCCACACAGAACTGACAGTTCCTTACGGGTGGCTTTGATCCAGCAGCCCTGCCCAAGGCATGGTGGCCCCAGCACTCAGGAGAAGATGCAGCCATGAACCAATCTGGGCTCAGCTAACACGGCCTTCAGGGGAAACACCCAATTGCCAAGATCAACATCTCTAAATCTCGATCCTCCAAAATGTGGTCATTCTACCAAAGAGCATGAACATGATGGAATTCCAATTTTGAGGTGCCCTCTGGATTAACAGAGCTCTGGACTTGACCTCAGGTCTGGGAGGTTCTTTCTCTGGCCCCGGAAGCTTCTCAAAATGAGCTTCTCCCATCGGTCCCCTGGACAGGGGAGTGGTTGGGCCGCAGAAAAAGTATATTAATTAGCTGCAGTGCCTTTAGGTACCTGAAGAAACTGGGCCAGGTTTACAATAGCTGCAACTTTTTGGGCATTTTGGACACACCTTACAATTGTTTTCTTCAGTGCGGTCCTCTCCCTTCCTGAGAAGAGCAGTCTGTCTGTGTGTCTTTTTTCTCCTTTAGGCCCAGCAGCCAACCTTGCAACAGTGTCTGTGCCAAGCAAGAAGACAAGTCAGCATCATGACCATGCAAATGGTGAAACTTCCCTGGGCTGGCATTCGAAAGGCTACACTATGCTTCTGAGGGGCGATGTTTCAGGACTTCCTAAAGTCACTGACTCCTGGCTCCAAGGGGCCTGAAATATCTTGAGCGACCCGTCCCTTTGCATCCTAGTAGGGGCCCCAGACTGAAGCCAGAAACCCATGGAAAAGCAACCTATTGACTGATGCCCCAGCATTAAAGAGATTCTCAGGGTTCTCCCTAAGAACAGGACTTGCTGGGAAGGACCCCCTGACATTGGTCCTGGCCAGAGCCACAGCCAAAAGCCAAATAAAAGGAGGGAAAGTCAGGACGTTGGACATAAACTTTGCCAACTCCATGCTATTGCCCCAGCCAGTTCCAAAGTCAACTGTTTAAAACTCCCTGACCTCAACAGAGTTTCTTGAAGGCCAACAATTTTCTTTTTATTTTTAATCTGGATGCAAGTTTCACATGTGTTCAATTTGTGAAAATTAACCAGCCTGGTCACTTAGAAGTGTGTGCTTTTTTCTATGCATGTTAGACTTGAATAAAGCATTTGAAATGAACCGGCATACTAAATTTGGTATTAGAAGTAAATACACATAATTTATCTAGCTTTGGCCTCCCAGTGTCTGATTCCCATATTAATGATTTGCCAGCAAAAGAATAGATGCTAATTTTGTCCCCCAAACAACTTGTATTTTAGGAATGCATAAGAGTCTCCTTCAGATGAAAGGAAAACAGCTTTGGGGTAGCCCAGGTTACAAGAGAGTGATCTCTATGGCCAAAGCAGAAGACTGTAGTCTTCATCTTCCTTCCATTCTTCCTTGCCTACAACTGCAAACGACTCTTACATGCACCTTGTTTATCTCCCATAAGAAGAGTCCCTGCGGGCTCTTCTCCTTGTGTTGATCTTTTAAGTGATAAACAATAACCATCATTTCATCAGTTTAACTTATTCGCAAATAAGCTAATAATCACATTTGCACAGTTCCCAAAATATTTTCACACCCGTTAACTCCTTTTGTCTTCATGACAATGTAAGTCCATCTCAGAAATGAAGAGATTGAGGCTCCGGGAGATTCTGAAACTTTCCTGAGCTCACAGAGATGAGAAGCAGCAGAGCAGGGATTTCAACCAAGGGGTTCCACAGCCCCCATTAAACCTGTCTGTCCCCTGCCCTTGGGTCCGGAGTTCTTAGGGTACATCCTTTTTAGGGGTGATTGCGAAGTAACAGACATTAAAAACATCTACCTCCACTACGTCACTAGCGACTTTTGATGGAGGTAGTCCTAGCTTCTGGAGAAGGAACACAGAGAGAGGAGTGGGCTGCTAGGTGAGGGAGAAGACAAAGTGAGCTCTGGGAAGCCATCACCTTGTCGCCTGCCTCAGACAATCCGTGTTCCTGCCTCTCTGGCCTCAGAGGCACTACCTTGGGGGAGTGGTGTCCACTTCCCTGACTCCTCCCCTCAGCCGGAGCGCCCAGGACTCATCCCATTCCTGCAGACTCAGCCCACACAGGCTGCTGTGCAATAGCCATGCGGGTTCCCTCTAACTCCAGGGCTTCACCTGGAAGGACTCTGCATCTCAGAGGGACTCAAATGTCTGGTAATTGGTAATAATTAGGATAAAAATGAGGATGACAACCATAATGATAGTGGCAGACATTTATTCCAAGCTAACGTTGTACAAGACACTTCTCTAAGTGTTTTAGTTGCATGAACTCATTTAATTCTCACAATAATCTCATGAAGGAAATACTATTATTAGTGGCTTATACTGAAGGGGAAACCGAAGCGTTAAATTGTTAAACTATTTGCCCAGTATCACAGTTTGTAGGTAGTAGAGTCTGGATTTGAACCCAGGAAGAACTTGGAAGAATAGGTCAGCCCACTCTCTCCAGCTCTGAAAAAGCTGTTCTTTGATGTTTGGTAGCTTTATACTAGCAGTAAGCATTGACCTGGACATCTGGCCGAAAGAGTGATTTTGCTTTGGGGGAGAAAAGCCCAGAGAGAAAAGGCTAACGCCTAGTCCGAACCAGAGCCTGGTGCAAGAGCTACACTCGGTGGTCACAGAATCCTGGGATTTCAGGCCTAGAGAGGCGTCCAGTCCCCCTTCAACCATGGACAAATGATGATCTGATCCAGCGACCCCCAAATCTGTCTCTGGATCCCTTGTTAAAAATACAGGTCTTCGGAACTTATGTCCACACAAAACCTACACACAAAAGATCATAGCTTTAGTCACAGTACCCAAAACTTGGAAGCACCTGAGCTGTCCTTAGGAAGTGAATGGATAAATAGACTGTGTTACACCTACCCAACGGAATGTTACTCAGCACTGCAAAGTAATGAGCTATCAAGCCATGAAAATACATGGAGAAAACTTAAATGCTTATTATTAAGTGAAAGAAGCCAGTTTGAAAAGGCTATATATACTGTGTGATTCCAACTATATGACACTCTGGAAAAGGGAAAACTATGGGGACAGTAAAAAAAAAGAAAAAATCAGGGGTGAGAAAGGGATGCATAGGCAGAGTACAGAGGACTTCAAGGGGAGTAAAAATACTCTGTATGATACTACAATGTTGGATACATGTCATTATGCATTTCCAAACCTGCAGAATTATAACACCAAGAGTGAACCCTAAGGTATACAGTGGACTTTGGGTGACAATGATGTATCAATATAGGTCCTTTGATTGCACCAAATGTACCATTCTGGTGGGGGATTGTAGATTGTTGGAGGGGAGGGGCTGTGCATGAGTGGATCCAGGGTATGTATGGGGAATCTCAATTTTGCTGTGAACCAAAACCTGCTCTGAGAAAATAAAGTCTATTAAAAAAACACAGATCTCCAAGGCCCATTCCTGCATATCTTAATTCAGTATGTCTGTGTGGGGCTTGTACCTCTGGACTTCTTAAAAAGCACCCAATGTCCCTTTTGCAGTCAATATACATGCTGATGTCTAGTCAATGTCTGAACAGTGCAGTGAAGGGGAGCCTATGACTTCGCACATCTCACCATCTTGCCATGCGGCAGCTTGGACTATTAGAGAGCTCTTCCTTTAGTGCAAGCCTCGATCTGCAGTGGACTACATCTCCTTCCATTACCTATTTCCCCTGTTTTGAACAACCATTTGCAGTTCATGGTGTTCGAGGACTATATTATTTCTTACATTAGAAACTTAATTGACTCCTTGATATGGCTCTTTAGAATAATCCTTTCTCGGACCTCCAACCTACTTTTTTCATGTCTCTGGGTTCTGCACCTCACACTTCATCACATCCATACTGTTTTCTTAATGTCTGAATGTCTTCCCCACTAGACTTTAGACTGTGAGGGAAGGGCCTGTATCTACCCCTGGGCCCAGTACTTCTTAGGCACTCGGTAAGACTTTGTTGAGACATGATTTGTAGATGCTAGGGGACCCAAGTCTACAGGGCCTGGGAGGTGCATTTGGCAGCAGTGGTGGGAGCCTTCCCAGCTCAGGCACTGGATAAAAGGTTCCTCCTCTGGATGTGGGTGTGGAGAGGAGCCTAACAAAGCAGGAGGAAAGGATGTACAACTCCTAAACCTGGAAGTCTACCAGAAGCTCAAACTAACATCTGATGACCTTGCCAAAAGAAACCAGGGCTCCTAACTACCACACGCGGTGATAACTTGACTTTTTATGCACTTCCTGAAGTCATTCCAGCACCCCTGGAGGTGGTCCGCTATGTCAACCACTGGACCATCAACAGCATTTCATTCCATAGCCACTGAGGCAAAAGCCCTTCAGCCCAGGGGCTTGGGAAGAAAGGCTCAATCTTGCTCAACTTGTAAAATCTTTCATAATGGTTTTTTCCTGTGTCAGGGAGTTGTCTGGTTGGCTCTTAAGTCATGACATCAAAACAAAGATCATGTGCTGTCTGTACTTGAATCTGCTATATAATGGCAGGCACAACGCCAGGCACCTAAGCGGTGTTCAGTAAAAACTAGTAGATTGAATTAAGTGCTAGGACAAAATGCAGTAATAAGGGTTAGATAAAAATCTATAGTATTTCTTGAAATGAGTTCCCTGGACGCCAGGGACATTTTTAGAGTTTTGAGTTAACACGGGCTTTTTTTACCAGGGGCAATTTTGCCTCCTTGCTCTACCCATGCCCTCCCTGTCTATCCTAGGGTCACATTTGGCTCACGCTCGGCCCACTTTCCCTTACTTGAGAACAGATCCAACTGTACAGTTCATTAAGGAGAACACATCATTGTATGGAATGGGGAGAAGAGAAGTAGATTTTACATCACACACTACCCAGCAAAGATAGGATAAAGTGTCATTGTAAGCATCTTTGTTCCTTCGCCTTATACCCTCTAAAGTTCCTTACTCTCAACATCCTCAGTCCGTTGAGCAAAACACAAGCCTGATGGATTATCCAACAGCTGTCCAGCTGTTGTTCCTCAAACATGCTCCTTGGAGTGGGTCTCTTCCCCATCCCTCCATAGCTTATCAAGGACTCCCAAAGAGGTCTGCTCCTCACCCACCCAGAAAAAGTCACTTTTCCTTTATGGTTACACCAGAAATAAGGGATTATTCATAGTATTTATTCACCCCCTTTTCTTTATTGCAAAGTCCTTTTCATTATTGCAAAGTTCAACAACCAATAACTTTAACAATGTTAATGATAAAAAGTTGGGAATTAGTTCTAAAACCTTTTTCAATTTTCAGTAATAAATTCCAGTAAATTGTCAATCACTTAAAATTTTCTTAATGAAGCATCAAGGCTCTTTGTTTCAACCTTATCATTGAAAACTACTGAAGGCGTTTGTCCACTTTCTAGTCTAAGGAACATGATAAAACTGGAAGGAAGTAGGCAAGCTTTTCCACTTGGAAAGTGTTGCAATAAATATTATATACAGTTTTTGAGGGGTTAGTTCAGTGGCTATTTTCTCCTACCAACTTATCCTTCCAGTCTGTATAGGTACTGACAGACTCAAGATGTAACACAGAGATTGTTTTTTTAATTTGAATTCTTTAACATTTAAAGACTAGTAGATTTTACATTAAAATCCACATTTCTCCGACCTCTTAAAGTACTGGAAAATCTGGCTATCTTCAAATATAAATTCCTCAGTGGCAACAATCAGCTAAAACTGAGGAATGATTGTCCTGTAGACAGAGAGGGGTTTTGCAGTCTACCACAGTTCCCTCCAATCCCTGCTGCTCACTGACACGGAGGTCAAGTGTCAGATATCATTTGTCATCCCGCTTGCACTGCTGTTTTCCTGAAAGAAGTATTAAAAGGAAGGTAAACCATCATCTGGTTTTGTTCCCACATCTGCCTGGCTCCTGTTGAGTTAGTAGCCCGTGTCCCACTCAGTCACGCCATTGTATAGATGGGGACTTTCCTTATGTGCCTAAATAAAATCCCCAAACAAAAATATCTATTTGCCAGGCTACAAAGTAGGTATAGTATGGTTTAACAGAGTTAACCACATGGTTACTAAAGATGCCACATAATTTACAACTTTGAGCGAAGTTCCCCAGGGGACGAGTGTGAAAACAGGAAAGCAAGTGATCGGGGAGCTCACCTCCCTTGACAGCAGGTAGAGGCAGTGCTTGAGGAATAGTCAATGACTGGCTGCAGATGACTGAGGGTGGAGTCGGGTTTTCACAGGCTTCTCCGCACACCTCCCTGTTACCAATAACCCCAGGGTTAGAACTCCCTAGAGTAATGACTCAGCTTGTGCTACATGTCGAGAATGACTTCAGCCTTTTTCTTTTTAACCAGTACATAGTGGGGGACAGCGGTGTGCAGATTCAGTCATTGGGGCTCCAGCCTGTACAGTCAGGCTGGTCAGGAGTTTCTTGCAGCATCTGTTAACAGATATATTTTATACAATGTGAGGACTGATTATTAGTCATTTTAGAGATGAAGAAACATGATTAAGTAATCTGTCTGTTGTCAAATAGCTAGAAAAGGGCAGAGGTGAGAATCGCACCCTGTCTGTCTCTATCAAAAAAGCCCGATCATTTTCTCACCATGATACAGAGGCAGCAAAGGCCTGGAACTTCAAAATGATAATATATAAATCTTAGATGCTCCGTTAGTTACTGCATCATAGACATGGCCAACCTCAACCTCATAGCTCATAATTCTTCAGCAATATTTATAAAACTTAGTTGTTAAAAGCTAGATTCCCCCAGGATGTTGAGCATATAGGTGGCTTTAGGCCAAACGCTTTCCAACTTCAGCCATAGCAACAGGAGTTGCAAAATCAAGGGCTGCAGAATGAAATCTCTGGGAACTAATTAGCTGAGCTCCCAGAGCTCCTGTGGTCTATAGTCACTCCTCACCTGTTGATCTCAGACCATGTTGATAATTTCGACCTGAGACAGATCATTTGGCCTAACTCTATGGCTGAAGAAAATGTTCAGAGAATAATTTTTCACTTGAGATTTTTCATTGAATAGTGTGAGGTCTCCTTTTTTGGAGAAAGGAAGATGGTCTGTCATGATTTAGCACTAGGGTCTAAGCAATAATGCAAAGCAAATATGATCTGGGCTCAGATTTTTCCCCATAGAAGATAATGATGAAAAAGGCCACTTGGTCAAACTCCATTACAAATCTATAGAAATCAAAATAGTATGGTGTTGGCATAAAAACTGACACTAAGATCAATGGAACATAATAGAGAGCCCAGAAATAAAGCCACATCTATATAGTCAATTAATCTATGACAAAAGAGGCAAGAATATACAATGAGAAAAGAAGAGTTTCTTCAACAAATGGTGTTGGGAAAAATTGAACGGCCACATGCAAAAGAATAAAATTGGACCACTATCTTACACTAACCACAAAAATGAACTCAAAATGTATTAAAGACTTGAACATAAGATCTGATGCTATACTCCTAGAAGGAAACAGGCAGTAAGCTCCTTGATACAGGTGCCGGTGATGGCTTTTTAAAATCTGACACCAAAAGCAAAAGCAACAAAAACAAAAATAAAGTGGAACAATATCAAACTAAAAAGCTCTGCTTAGAAAGTAAAACCATCAACAAAATGAACAAGCAACTTACTGAAAGGATGAAAAGCATTTATAAATATCTGAGGAGGGGTTAATACCCAAAATAGGTAAAAAACTCAATGGCAAAAAAAAAAAAGAAATTAAAAAAAAAATAAACCCAAATAAAAAACAAAGTTCTGAATAGATATTTTCTCTAAAGAAAACACACAGATATCCAACAGGTACATGAAAAGCTGAAATGGAAATTGAAACCACAATGAAGTATCATTCCACATTTGTTGCAAAGGCTATTATCAAAAAGATAAATAATGACAAGTTTTGGCAAGGATATAGAGGAAAAGGGAACCCTTATGCACTGTTGGTGGGAATGTAAACTGGTGCAGCCACTATGAAAAGCAGTGTGGCATTTCTCAAATAAAAAACAACAAAAAAACTACAATTTGATTCAGCAAGTCCATTTCTGCGTATTTATCTGAAGAAAATTAAACCACTACCTTGCCGAGATACATGAACCCCCATGTTATAACCAAGAAATGGAATAACCTAAGTTTCCACGGATGGATGAATGGATAAAGAAAATGTGATAACACACATGCACAGGGAATATCATTCATCCAGAAAAAAAGAAATCCTGCTATTTGTAACAAGATGGATGAACTTTGAGAGTATTGTGGTAACTGAAATAAGCCACACAGAAAACAAATATTGTATAATCTCATTTATATAGGAAATCTAAAATACATACATACGTACATACATACATACATAACAGATGGATGGTTTCCAGCAGAGGCAGGTGGTGAAGGGTATAGGAAGTGGGTAAAGGGGGTTAAAAGTTACAAATTTCCAGTTATAAATAAGTCATGGTGATTTACATTAATGTATGGCATGGTGACTATAGTTAACAATAAGCATATTTGAAAGTTGCTGAGAGAGTAGATCTTAAAAGTTCTCAGCACAACAGAAAAAAATTGTAACTGTGCAAGGCAGTGAATGTTCACTAGACATATTATGCTGATCATTTTGCAAAATGTACAAATATCACATCACTGTGCTGCACACCTAAAATTAATATAATGTTATATGTCAATTATATAGCATTTTTGTAAGAAAATAAGAGCTACACTAGATTCCACAGAGTTTCCCTTATTGAGAAGTTGATGTTAATAGTCCTCTAACAGGCATTCTTAATAAATGGTAAAAAATTTTTTAAAAATTAATTTTTCTTGGCACTCTCCACCTGGTTCCCTTTGAAAGTGACAAGATAAGTCAGTTGCTTAACTCTACATTATTGAAGAAATTCTTTTATCCATTGGGCTGGATTATCAATACTACTGATTATACAGCTATCACTCAGAGAGCTTAATAGCTCTGCAGTGTCTATAGGGGGGACTATTATTACCCCCAAGTTATAGACGAGGAAGCCAAAGGGACTAACAAACCTAAAATCACCCAGTAAGCAGCTGAACCACAAAGCTGAGCCTACGTCATCCAACTCTGAAGCCCAAGTTTAAAGACTACATCAAGTAACTGAGGAGCCAGTTCCAGTACTCCATCCTTTACTCTGCTCTTTCTAACTCATTAGAGCTTAGAGCAGGAGTCAGCAAACAAATCATGGCCCACCAGATGGCCACAAAGCCTAAAATATTTACTATCTGACCCTATACAAAAAAATGTTAAAAAGTTCCCGATTCTTGGCTTAAGGGAATGGTAAACTAAATCCCAAATGTTCCATTCTGTTTACTGAGTTCTCTATAATACTTGGGACCAGAGGATTCTATGGCTTGTTTTTGATTCATTAAATATTTTTTATTGACCCTAAGTAATAAAATAGTTTGGGGGGAAGTAAATAAAAGCTAAAGTGCTGTGGTTTCAAATATTTACCTCCTGGGTCATTGCGGGGCTGTTGGTTAACCAAAGCCCCGGAGGGTTTTGCCTGCCATGAAGAATTTGGCCAGCGGGGCTGACCCACTGAGTGTAGATAAAAGTGCTCTATGGCTTCTCTTTGTCCATGATGAGGGGGGATTTGAGGGCACCCTTTCAACAGCTTGCTGCCAAACTGGAAACTAGCTGTTTAGATGGCTGCCAGCATGCTAAGCCAATAGAAACAGTGACAAAGAGGGCAGTAAGTAAGGCAATGAGTAACTACTCATTTTCTTCATTGTTTTCAAATGTAGCAAGTGGTGTTTGGTAATCCTCACGTAAAACAGATAAGCGCGCCATCCCAGAAGCTGGGAGTTCTCGAGTCATAAAGCACGTGGTGGTCCAGAATCAGGTCTTTCCACGGACACAAGAACGTGCCAAGATCTTACCAATACAAAATCATCACACAACCTAGTTAGGGTCAAAACAAAAAATCTGCCCTGGCCAATGTGGCTCCGTTGGTTGGAGCATTGTCCTATAAACTGAAAGGTCATAGGGTTTGATTCCTGGTCAGGGCGCATGCTTAGGGTGCAGGTTTGGTCCCCAGTCAGAGTGCATATGGGAGGCAAAATATAGATGTTTCTCTCACATCAATGTCTCTCTCTCTCTCTCTCTCTCTCTCTCTCTCTCTCTCTCTGTCCTTCCCCTCTCGCTCAAGGCAATGAAAAAAAAAATGTCCTCTGGTGAAAATTAAAAAAAAAAAAATTTGATGAGTCTTTATGGTCTCACTCTATTTATGTGGCAAAGATTTCTCTGTAAAATGAGGCATTGGCAATGAATATCTCTACAGTTGCTTCCAGCTGTATGAATATGTGGAATGGAAGCTCCACTAAGCATAGAAATAATCCTGGAATATATTGCTGACTATTACTCATAATTCATTATAGCTCATTTATCCTATTGGCGTTATTATAATTATCATCTATGTTATCACTGTTATTATCCTTGCTTACAGCATAGATGATAATAATAGCCAGCATTTGTTAAATACTTTGAATGTACCAGAGATCATTTGTTGAGGTCTCTGGAGTACACATGAACAGAACATTCTATGCTCTGCCTATGCTTTCTATCTTTTAGACTAGAGGTCAGCAAACTATAGCTGTGGGCCAAATCTGGCCCATTACCTGTATTTGTAAACAAAGTTTTATAAGAACACAGCCAAGCTCATTATTTAGCTATTGTCTACGGTTGCTTTTGCACTATAAGGGCAAAGTTGGATAGTTGCAGCAGAAACTCTAAAACTGTTTTCTAGCCCCTTACCAAAATAAGTAAACAAACAAACAAACGCACCTTGCAGACCCCTACTCTGCACAGCTGCTGCTCTTGCCTACCTAGTATCACCTTACTACTCTTTTGGTTAGAGCCTCGGGGCTTCCCCCAGGACACCTCCCCTCTTATGCCTGTGTTCTGGGTACAGCTGACCCATTGCCCATCTCAGGCCTGGCAAATCAAGACTCTCCCTCCCCATGGCCACAAATATTCAATGAGATTGAATATTTGGGTGGGATTGTGAGATTCAGCCCTAAGAATTTTGCTGGAAATAATGAGAGGGAGAGTTTCTTTTTGCTGAGATTTTTGAGCTGCTAGGATGCAAGTCCAGAGCTGCCAAGAGCCTGCAAGGAAATGACCTGCCAGGATTTGAAGACAAAGAGAGATGGAGAATGAAAGAGATCTGATGATAAGATTTTAGCCTCTGGCTCCAACTGTGACTGAAGCTACTTCTAGACTTTTCAGCTAAT